TTTCCCCGAAACCAGCGACCTTGCTTTACCTCACCTTGCCAATCTTACCTCCTCACACCCATCCATCACGGCGACCCAACTGACGACTCTGCTCGTCCGTCGCCTCCACGATTCGCAGCGCTTTCCGCACCTGCATCGCCCGACGCCATCTTCACTGTACCTGAAATTTTAGGTATCGGTCTCGTCGACTTTGCGCGCCTACCCGATCCGGCCAACCCGAGCGCGCACGCACTGGACGAGCTGCCCCCAAACGAACCGGGCCAGAGCAGCCTCTTCGTCCGCAGCGACAGTTCCTCATCCCGCGTTGTTTAAGACCACCTGTTGAGAACAATCTGGGTCGAACGGTTGCCGCCAGACCAAGAACCGTCATCGATTCGCGAATCATTCCGCACGATGCCGCGCGGGAAGAGAGGGGTCAAGTTCCCCCACAAGGCCAACAACGGCAACGCCGATGGCCGTCGCTCCAGCTTTAGCGACTACAGCGAGGATGGCTCTCCTATCAAGCAGAGGTCGGGATCTGGGCAGCAGGCGCCGCTAGACGGCATCGCGGAGGTACGTCGACGCAAATCCTTGGGCAGGGCATCGACACGTGCTCATCCGCCTGCTTCGAACTCGTAGCCTTGAGATGACTTTTTTTTTTTTTTGCTGATTCCAACACCCCTGTGCACAGCAGCCACAGTTGTCGCCCGCCGAGGCTGCCGCCGAGGAGAAGCGCGTCGCCCACGAGAAGAGGAAGACGGACTTCAAGGTCCGCACCTTTTGGACTTTTGTCATGTTTGCTGGCTTCTTCGCCGCCCTCTTTTCCGGCCACATGTACATCATCTGCGTCATGACGGTCATTCAGGTTGTCTGCTTCAAGGAGGTCATTGCCATCGCGAGCGTCCCCAGCCGGGCTCGTCAGCTGCGCCCCTCCAAGAGCCTCAACTGGTACTGGCTCGTCACCACCATGTACTTCCTCTACGGCGAATCTGTCATCTACTACTTCAAGCACATTGTGCTGGTCGATAAGGTCCTCCTGCCGCTGGCCACCCACCACCGCTTCATCAGCTTCTTCCTCTACATCTTCGGATTCGTCTTCTTTGTCACTACCCTGCACGCAGGCCACTTCAAGTTCCAGTTCACCCAGTTCGCCTGGACGCACATGGCGCTGTACCTTATCGTGGTCCAGGCACACTTCGTCATGAACAACGTTTTTGAGGGCCTCATCTGGTTCTTCCTACCCGCGGCCCTCGTCATCACCAACGACATCTTCGCCTACATTGTGGGCATGACCTTTGGGCGTACCCAGCTGATCAAGCTGTCGCCCAAGAAGACGGTTGAGGGCTTCGTTGGCGCCTGGGTCTTCACCATTGTCTTTGGCATCATCCTGGCCAACATCTTGACGCGTTCCAGCTACTTCATCTGTCCTGCCCACGTGAGTTGACCTGGTTTGACCAAGCGCGCAAGAAAATGCTAATGTATAACAGGACCTCGCCTCGAATATCTTCACCGGACTCGAATGCACCCCCAACCCGGCCTTCCTGCCCAAGACGTACAAGCTCCCCGACCTGGTTTTCCTTCCGCCCAACACCGATATCTCCTTCACTGTTGCCCCTATTCAGTTCCATACCCTTGTTCTCGCCACCTTTGCCTCACTCATCGCGCCCTTTGGCGGATTCTTCGCATCTGGCCTCAAGCGCACTTTCAAGATCAAGGACTTTGGCGATTCGATTCCCGGTCACGGCGGCATGACTGATCGCATGGACTGCCAGTTCATCATGGGTTTCTTCACATACATCTACTTCCACACCTTCGTGTCTCTCAACAAGGAGGCTAGCCTCGGTGCTGTCTTGGAGCTGGCCATCACCGGCCTGACGCACGAAGAGCAGAAGGAGCTGATCACGGGCCTGGGCCGCTACCTCAGCAACCAAGGTCTCGTCAACGGAGAGGTCGTAAGTCATGTCTAACATTTTCTGCTACTGAGCACGCTGCTAACAACAAGCCTCAGCTCTCTGCGTGCCTTGACAAGGCCCTGCAACATGCGTAGTGGTCAGGAACCCTTAACGGCTCCCCGTCACAACATGCTTCGTGCACGCAGTGTTGCAAATACCGATTGCACGGCATCGTCTTGTAGTCCGGGACTATGTAGACGCAAAAGCACAGGATTTAATGATAATACATGTAACATTGACCAGCGGTATCGTCCTTCATGACTGACTCCCCTCAACGGGTATATATCCACAATACGACCTACTTTCATGATCCGTCTGACCTGCTGCTGTATCTGGCTCACCAGTGGCACGGCGCTCGCAAAATGCATTCCAAGTGACTTGTCAGGGGTGCCTGTCACGTGTATCCCAAATTGTGGTGTCGTGACACACGGATACGTCGACAACCGGTGCCTGCTCAAACCGCGAAGGAGACCGTCTTGCACACATCGCCAACCTGTATGAGCGATGTACGCTTGGCCTCCGCCCGGCTTTAGTAGTAATGGTATGGGGAGGATGGGCGGCAATGAATATTCGCGGTTACCTCTTCTGTCTCCTTTCAATGCACAAAGAGTGCTGGCCAGTATGCGACGAACAGTGACTCAACAATGTGTCTCATGCAGACTGGCAACGAACCCCAACACCGGCATGCGCCAGCCACGCACGGCATCTGAGACCCCCGGTGCGGAGGCACAACGGACCAACAGTGAGGCGGCATCGGCGGCGGGGGCGAAGCGGCAGTGTGGGGCAGCGGCGAGTGCTGGTCGATCTGCATCGAGGTGCGGGGGTGAGCAGCCAGTCGGTCAAAATCGTGTCAGCCTTTGCATTCGCATCTGTGTAGTGCTGTGGCTCTCCAGTGACGACTGCAACATAACATGACGACCGCTGCCGGTGCCCAAGACGCGGCCTGGGCCGTAGCGATCCACCGCCCGCTCACGCGCCGAGGCCACGGCCCCGGACTCATCATCTTGACGGAGGAAGGCCATGGGGTTCCGAAGGACGGTGTGCTTGACCCCCCGCCCGCGCAGAAATGGGCCGAAGAGGGATATGCGATTGCCGCTGTCACGATCGGCGCAGACGCGGAGACTGTAGATCTGAAACAGGTTCTGCAAAATGCGGCTGACGAGCTCGACGAGCTCGACGTCTGTGATCAGAAAGGCCGCTGTGGTCTTATCAGTGAGCTCCTTTGAGCCCCCTCTACCCGGTGTGACAGCTCTGCAGTGCGTGCTGACATGTTCTCGCAGTCTATGCCGCTGCCTCGAGCCCGGTCCTGGCAAATCTCGCCAAGGAAGGTCCCATCGCGAGCATCGCAGCCGTGGTGTTCTTCGGGGCCCGCGTCGCCTACGGCCACGGCCCTGCGCTGGCGCACGTGGCCGGCTCGGGCGCCGGCCAGACGGCGAGCCTGGCAAACGGTGGGAAGCACTACCTGTACCCTTCTGCGAGGCCCTTTTTCGGGATTCCCGCCCACGCTGATTATCACGCGGCCTCGGCTTCCCTCGCCCACACGCGAACGCTGTCCTTCCTCAAGCCCCTTTTCGGGGGGCCCTACTTCGACATTGAAGCTGTATGGGAGGAGCACACGCAGTTTGAATTCGGCGAACGAAGCGTCGAAAAGACCATGGCTACCATGGTCGAACAGCCCTACGTAAGTCTGGCATGGAGCCTTTCACGTTCGACGCAGAGGACCGCCGAAAGGAAGCCAGGGAAGCTGACGCAAAGGGCGGTAACAGGTCAACCACGTCCCGACGCTGACAGGAGGCGTCGGCCGTGAGCGTCTCACAGACTTCTACCGCCATCACTTCATCTTCAGCAACCCGGAGGACACGGAGCTCGAGCTCGTCAGCCGAACGGTGGGCATTGACAGGGTGATTGACGAGTTTGTTTTCAAGTGCACCCATGATAGGGTGATTGACTGGCTGTACGTGTTCTTCTCTTGTTTCTCTCTTTTCTTTTCTTTTTTTTCTTTTCATGGCGTCGAACCCATATCTTTCCTCTCCTGTTTCCTGGAGACAAGAGGCTGACACTTGACAGGCTCCCCGGGGTGCCCCCGACGGGCAAGGCGCTGACGATACCGTTCACCAGCGTCGTCAACGTGCGGGGCGACCGGCTTCACCACGAGCACATTGCGTGGGACCAGGCGACGGCATTGCGGCAGCTGGGACTGCTGCCAGAGTACCTGCCCTTCCCATATGCCATTGATGGCCAGACACCGGCAGAGGGTCGGCGGTTCGAGTACCGGGTGCCGGTAGGTGGGACAGAGACGGCGGCGAAGCTGGCGGACGAAGGGGCTGTCGAGTCCAACGCCATGTTTGCGTACACCACGAGGGAGGTGTGACGGAAGGCTCGTCGAGGAAGGGCCTAGATCGGACATTTGAAATTTCCATAGCTCCAATTTCTCATCAGCAAAGGCTAATCAGCGAAGGCATTCTCGGGCATGGCGACGAGGACGGAGAATCGCGACAGCCCATGTTGGATTCTCCGAGCTGTCAATGCGGGGTGGTGTGAAGGTCTGACCTATGGCTGTGGGGGCCGAGATCGATGGCCGCGGGGACTGCACACCAATTATCATGGGAGCACGGGTGAACATCGGCTCGCCCAAACCAATGGGCAACGTCTCGAGGCGGCGACGTGGGCAGAGGCCACGGCTAAACCGCGCCTGACGCGCAGGAACCCCGGATAGGGAGAAACCTCGGAGTCACTAACGGGCCGCTAGGGGATGAACTGGCTCCACTCGGCACCACTCGGTACCCCTCGATCAAGGATCCAACAGCCAAGTTACGTCGTTTCGGGACCCCTCATGCCGCCATCGACGCATGGAAGACGCCCATCAAGACGTCGGTTCGCTGTCCCGATCCGAGTCTCCGGGGAGAGTCTAGAGGTTGATCCACTTTGGTCTCCAGGTCAGACATGAATCGACATCTCGCCATGGCGCCGCGTCCAGGTACAAAAGGACGTGCCTCGTCCTCGTCGACATGTTGCCCTTTGCCTCTACTTTCTCATCCCATCATCCCCCATCCACATTAGTCCTCCATCATGTCTACCACCGACGTGAAGGCCATCCTGTCCACTCTGACGCTGGAGGAGAAGGTAAACGTACCGAGAGGCCCCCGACTGACGTCCGCTGACAGACCTAGATCTCCCTGACAGCCGGAGCCAACTTCTGGGAGACCGTCTCTATCGCAGACAAGGGGATCCACGCCCTCAAGGTGAGCGCCAGTCCGCGAGATTGCTCCTGCGAGCTCGTCTCCGTTTACTCGAGTTGGACGAGGCTAACCCTCGTAGACGTCTGATGGCCCCAACGGCGCGCGAGGTGCCACGTTCGCCGGAGGTATCACGTCTGCGTGCTTCCCCGCCGCCTGCAACGTCGCGTCCACCTTCGATGTCGACATTGCCCGTCGTATCGGTGTGGCCCTAGGCGAGGAGACCCAGACCAAGGGCGCCCGGTGCCTTCTGGCGCCTACCATGTGCATCCAGCGTCACCCCCTCGGCGGCCGCAACTTTGAGAGCTTCTCCGAGGACCCCTTCCTGTCTGGCAAGCTGGCCGCGCGCAATGTCGAGGGTGTCCAGTCGACGGGCGTCTCGGCTACCATCAAGCACTTTGCCGCCAACGAGCAGGAGACTCAGCGTCTGAGCGTCGATGAGGAGATCAGTGAGCGTGCCCTGCGCGAGATCTACCTCAAGCCCTTTGAGATTGCCATCAAGGAGGCCAACCCCGGCGCCGTCATGACTGCCTACAACCAAGTCAACGGCCACCACGCCGATTCTCACCCGTTTCTCCTGAAGCGCGTTCTTCGCGGCGACTGGAAGTGGGACGGCCTCGTCATGAGCGACTGGGGCGGTGTCAACTCGACTGCTGACTCCCTGAACGCTGGCCTCGATCTCGAGATGCCCGGACCCACCCGCTGGCGCAAGGTGGAGGACGTTCTGGCCGCTGTCAAGGCAGGCAAGCTGACGGAAGAGACGATCAACGACCGCGCCCTTCACGTTCTGCGCTTCCTCGAACGCCAGAAGGTCTTCGAGGACCCAACCATCCCCGACGAGAAGGCCGTCAACAAGCCCGAGCACCAGGCCCTCATTCGCGAGGCTGGCGGCAAGGGCATCGTTCTCCTGAAGAACGAGGGCAGCGTTCTGCCTCTGACGAAGGAGAAGGTCAAGGGAAAGAAGATTGCTCTCCTGGGCTATGCTAAGGAGGGTCTCGCCCACGGCGGCGGCAGTGCTTCGGTCAACGCTCACTACAAGATCACCCCCTACGACGCGCTGAAGGAGGCTTTCGGAGACGACGTCGAGATCACGTACAGCAAGGGCGCCCACACCTTCCGCCAGCTGCCTCTGCTGGCGGAAAACGTCGTCAGCACCGACGGCACGACGCCTGGTTTCACCTACAGCATTTACGAGCCCGGCAAGTCGGAGCCCATCAAGGCTACCCAAGGCCACAAGACGTCTGAGGTTGGTATCCTCGATGCCTTTGACCTCGAGAACAAGGAGATCGAGCTCGTCGGTACTTTCACTCCCCCCGAGACGGCCACCTACTACTACACCCTCACCGGCCTTGGCCCCTCCTACGTCTCCATCGACGACAAGGTTGTCTTTGAGCAGAAGGACAACTGCTCCGACTCGATGGGCTTCCTCTTTGGCGGCGTGCCCGTGCCGACCATGAAGTTCCCCTTCGAGGCTGGCAAGACGTACAAGCTTCAGGTTCGCAGCTCGCCCCCTGCGCCTGTGCCCGGCACTGATCTCGGCATTCTCGAGGGCCGCGCCGGTGTCCGTTTCGGCGCCATGTCCGCGACCGAGCACGACCGGGACATTCTCAGTGAGGCCGTCGACGCCGCCAAGGCCGCCGACTACGCCATCGTCTTCACCGGCCACGATCCCACCTGGGAGACTGAGGGTCAGGACCAGGCCGGCTTCCACCTCCCCAAGGACGGCAGCCAGGACCGCCTCGTTTCTGGCGTCGCCAAGGCCAACCCCAATACCATTGTCGTCAACTCGACTGGTGTCGCCGTCGCGCTGCCGTGGCTGTCCGAGATCAAGGGCCTCCTCCAGGCCTGGTTCCCCGGCCAGGAGGCCGGCAACGCCATCGCCGACGTCCTCACCGGCGCTCGCACCCCCGAGGGCCACCTCACGTGCACGTTCCCCAAGCGCCTCGAGGACTGTCCCGCCTACGGCAATTTCCCGGGCACGTACGTCGACGGCAAGCTCAAGGTCAAGTACGAGGAGGGCGTCTTTGTCGGCTACCGCCACTTTGACCGCCTGCCCGCCGACAAGGTCCATTTCCCCTTCGGCTTCGGCCTGTCGTACACCACGTTTGCCCTCGCCGACCTCGCCGTCAGGGAGACGTCTGCCGACGCGTACAGCGTCAGCGTCAAGGTGTCCAACACGGGCGCCGTCGAGGGCGCGACGGCCGTGCAGATCTACGCCGGCGCCGCGACGCCGTCGGACGACACGCCCATCAAGGCGCTCGTCAGCTTCAAGAAGGTGACTCTCAAGCCCGGCGAGAGCGCGACGGTCGAGCTGCCGGTGCAGGTCCGGGACTTTGCCTCGTGGAGCGAGGAGGCGCAAAAGTGGGTGATCAAGGGCGGCGAGTACAAGATCAGCGTCGGCAAGAGCGCCGGCGAGCTGGTGCTGTCGTCGGATGTGCAGATCAGCGACAAGTCGTACGAGGCGTAGGGGGAAAGAGAGACAGTGGTGGGTGGATCAGGCAGATGGGCGATATAGATTTTACGTAGCGAGCATCTCTGTTTGAATGTACGAAATTGTATGGTTCATATTCTCATCATTTCTTTTTCTATTTTTGGGCCGTGACGACATCTATTCCAGGTGGGTTCTTTTCCTCCTCGTAGGCATCTTCGATATCCTGTCTATGCGCCCACCATCTTGATCCTCCCTTCCAATACAGGAGCGATGACCCGCGTCCAGTCGACCGAAAAGTCGCCCTCGACCAGGGGATCGACAGCTTTTCCAAAAACGCCAATCCTCTTGGCCCACCGGCCAAAGAACTTTCGCATCAACAGCAGCTCGAGGTCGACGCTCGCCAGCTCGTCGGCGTCCTGCAGGATGCCCTTGCCGCCCTTTTCATCACTGTCATCCTCTTCCTCGTCCGACTCGGCGGGCCGGGCGTCGAGGCCGAGCCGCTTCCGCATCCACTGGCTCCACGACTTGCTGTCCGCGCCAGTCTTTGACTGCGCCGTGTCTTGCTCGGGCTTGTTGCCTGGCGCGGTGGCCCAGGGATTCTTCCTCGTCTCGATGGGCGTGGTGCACTCGCTCGCGACCTTGACCCAGTGCTCGCTGAGGTTCTTCCACTGCCCGACGGTCCGCAGTCCCATGAAATACTGCCGCAGCATGGCCGAGATGAGGATGCCGTTTTCCTCGCTGATCAGCTCCTCGGCCGTGCCGCCCTCGGGCTCCACGAGCAGCGAGTCGTACCCGTCCTTGCCGCGCGCCATGTAACCCCTCGTCGCGAGCACATATTTCTTTCCTTCGTCGAGCGGCGCGCCGCCGAGCTTCACCCAGTTGACGCGCGCGCCGGACACCTTGCTGGGGTCAAACTCGAATTCGAGGTTCGACACCTGCGGGAACCGTCCCTCCTGCGCCGGGTACATGGAGACCGAGTTCTCGAGGGCCTCTCTCAGCTGCGTGCCCGTGACACGAATGACGACAACGGGGTCCTCAAAGGGGAAACAGTTTGTAATGTCGCGCACGCGCAGCACGCCAGGCGGGTAGATCTGGTCGCCGCGGATGGTGCCGGCAGCCATGAGGGCGGCGTCGGCGTGGTGGTAGTTGCGCATAATATCGCAGACGAAGTTGCCCATGTTGCTCTCCTTCATACGGACGGTGCTGAAGCGGGCGTCGAGCGGCGCCGCCGTCCAGCCGACGGGCTTGCACAGCTGGTGCTTGAGCTTGTCGGTCAGCGCCGACGTCATGCGTAGGGCCTCAGCGTCCTCGGGGATGGACGAGACAATGTCGCGGCGGAGAATGTCAATGTCCCAGCGGCCGGGGCGCGTCATGCTGCGACGTGCCTCGATGTAGCTGAGCTGCTTAAAGTCGGTGCCGCTGCGGAGGACATGTGTGTCGTTGATGAAGCTGTGGGCGTAAAAGTGGTCATGGCCGCCGAGGATGAGGTCGAAGAGGCCATCCGTCTGGCGAGCGAGCTTGTCATCGTTGGGCTCGCGCTGATGGCTGACGCAGATGACAATGTCGGCGCCGGCTTCGCGTAGGCCGGGGACGAGCTGCTTGGCCGTCTCGGTGGCGGACTTGTAGATGAGATTTGGCGGCAGAGAGTTGATGGTCTCGAGCCACTCGCGCTCACCCAGGCCGATGAGACCAACTTTGAGCCCGTTGGAGGCGGTCAGCAAGTGGGTGCGCTTGGCATTACCGAGGGGCACGTCCTCGCCGAGGGCCGGGTCGAGCACGTTGGCGAGGAGCCAGGGGAAGGTGCACTTGCGGGCGAGGTGCTCAAACTGCTTGACGCCAAAGTCGAGATCATGGTTCTGCCGTGTGTCAGCGCGTGAGAGCTTATTGAATACGAGGTCATGCGCTCACCCCGACACAGGCACAGTCGGTGCCGATGGAGTTGAGCACGGGCACCATGTGCTCACCCTTGGTGACGGAACTCTCGAGGCTTGGGTTGAAAGCGTCGCCCGAGAAGAGCGTGATCAACTCAGGCTCGCTGCGGAACCGGTCCTCGCTCCGATACTGGTTGACGGCGGTAATGAAACGGGCTATGCCACCCTTGGGCTCAGCACTCGAGGGGTCGAGGTGGTACACATCGTTGTAGTGTAAAAGCCGCAGGTCGGGCGGGGAGTCGGGCTGTGAGGAGAAGGCAAAGCCGTCCTGCTGAGTGCGGCCGGAGCTGAATGTGACGGTTGGCTTGTCGTCTGCGGGGGCGTTCTTGGGCATCTCGGCGCGTGAAGGGTGTTACCGTGATTGCCAGCACGAGCACTGGTCGACGAGGTTGATGGCAGGCGTGGACTGCGGCTCAGGAACGCAGCGTGCGTTCGGGACCCCGGCACGAGAAGGGTGATACGGGCTGCGGGTGGCGGTGGGTGTTTCTGAAAATAGCACACAGGGCGTTGATGGGTGGCAGCGGGATCGAACCACGGGAGATGAGACGGCGATCAAAATCAAGCCTATATGTCGAAGGGGATAGGAGCGGAGGTGGAGATGTGAGTGGGGAATCGGAAATAAGGGGGCGGGAGATGGCAACCCGGAGAAGGGAAAGAAGAAGGGTATTTGGTTCAGCTCAGAGGCTGTGCTGTGCCTCAAGGGTCGCGATGATGGGCAGCAATCTGTTCGGTGGTTGAAGGACAGAGACACTGCTTCCTCCACGCGTTGAAGTCGTGGACTTGGCCGTTCGACACTGTGGGAAGGCACTGGTGCGGGGGCGGGGCTGTGCCTGGCTAGTCCTGATGTGGACTGATAAGGTGCAGTTATCGTGCCAATGATTGGCCTGCTCTTCATCATCTTTGGGATACCGTCAACAGCCAATCAATACTGGCGTTTCTGCTGACCTCACCTCACCCCCTCTGCCAGAGAAGACCCCCCTAAGAAAGCCCCCACGTGCTCGACTTCTCCCTTGGCCCAACCTCACAACACCAAGAAATCCTGGTCACCAAAAACCACCAGCATAGCCACCCACTGGTTTATCCAAGCGTCTTGGCTTTTTAAGCTTATCCAACCGACACCCGCTCTAAATTGCTCGCGCCAGCGCTGATCCTTGCCCTTGCTTTCTTTTTTATCCGGCCACTTCACCCCACTGGTGGCATGATCGTTGATAATTGGGTTCATGCGTTCGTCAAATCATGTTCTCATTCACACTCGTGACTCTTGCTAACTAAACGTATTTCCGGTCTCTTGTATGTACAAGCGCGCTCTTGCTCCTGGTCCATGACAGGCTAGCAAGCGGAACCAAGCAAACCCTGTTGGACTGATGTGCTGTCCCCCTGTGCTGTCCTGCTGTGCTGTCTCCCTTGGCACGTCGCCGCCCCTTTGCGTGCCAGCGTCACCTCCTCAGACCCAGACCTCGTTAGGCTCGGCCATTTGGTACAGCTTCCTTGAAGCCAACATGCGTCCGACGACGATCATCCTCATGACGCCCTCGGCACTCTCCTGCGTCAGCTTCTCTGCCTCGAGCACGGCTTCCGCCAGCGTCGTCGGCTTCTGCAAGATACACGTGTACGCATCAATGCCAACATCGTAGTTGACCCGCGCGCCAGGCCCAATCGTGCCAGCAATGGCGACGACGGGTAGGCCGTACTTCTTTGCCCGCATGCCAATCTCGGCAGGGATCTTGCCGCGGGGTGTCTGGTCGTCAATGCCTCCCTCGGCCGTGAGCACAAGGTCGCAGTCGTCAAAGAGCGTCTCAAAGTCGACGTACTCCGCCACCACTTCATATCTTGGCCGGAGCCTGGCGCCAATCAACCGAAGACCGGTGCCCAGGCCACCAGAGGCCCCGCCACCGGGCGCCTTGCCCACCTTGTTGTCGCAGAGAAGACGGCCGGCCACGACGCTGAGCACCTCCATCGCAGCCGACAGCCGCTCCGTCTGCTCCTCGGACGCGCCCTTTTGCGCGCCAAAGACCCTCGCCACGCCGCCAGGGCCGCACAGCACGTTGCTCCAGTTGACGGCCACCTCGATCGACGTCTCGTGGATCCTCTTGTCGACGTCGCTGAGGTCGATGTTGGCGAGACGCAGCAGCGAGTCGCCGCCGCCCGCCGTCGGCAGCGGCCTGCCGTCCTGGTCGAGCAGGCGGGCGCCCAGGGCCTGGAGCATGCCCGCGCCGCCGTCACAGGTGCCAGAGTCGCCGCAGCCTATGACGATGCGCTTGGCGCCAGCATCGAGGCAGGCGAGGAGCAGCTCGCCGACGCCGTAGGTCGTCGTGCGCGCTGGGTTGCGTAGGTGGCTGGGCACCAGGCTCAGGCCCGCGGCAGCCGCCATTTCGATGACTGCCGTGCGAGGGGCCGAGGCGTTGCTGCTGTTGCCCAGGATGCCGAAGAAGGACTCGACCGGCGCGCTCACCGGTCCAGTGACTGTGACGTGGTGGAGCTTGCCAGCGGTAGCGGTCACCAGCGCACCAGTGAAACCCTCGCCTCCGTCGACAAGGGGGACCTTGCGGATAGAAGCGTCAGGGAGCACTGCGAGGATACCGGCTTCGATGCAATCGGCTGCCGTCTGGGGCTGCAGGCTGCCTTTGAAGCCAGAGGGGCACACGAGAACCTTCATGCCGGAGGGAGCGGCAGGAGTGGTCATCGTGAGCTTCATTGGGGATGATATGTTGCGGGTTGTGTGTTGCGTTGGTAAGTCAATGTAAGTCAATGTATATTTGTCAATGTTTGAACGAAGGTATTTGTTCAAACGAAGGTCGGTGAGGTGAATAGGTATATGATGTAAATAAGGTATGAGGATGGTGTAGCGATTGTGAGGTGTATTTTGGATGGTAGTAGTGAGAAAGCGAATGTATTGACTGTGATGGTGATGATAATGATCTTCTTGTGCTCGATACTCGACCAGAAGTCCTCGTCTTATATGGTATCAAGGTTTGAGCCGTCACCGCCAACGCATCATCACGACACTTGCCAAAAGCTGACTTAGCCAAGCTTCAGAAACAGTTCATCTCATGGCGAAGATCTTTTCTTAGACACCTTGAGCCACTACACTGCCCGGTGTGTGTCGGCGTTCGGCTTGAAGCCATTCACGCGCAGAAGCTAGAGGAGGCGCTGTCGGGTTACCACACGGCGAGAAAGACGCAACCGGGAAATTGCTCGTGTGATAGGATTATTTTGAGATGCACTCATTTCACAAGTATGATGCGGGGACAAGCACCAGTCCGGCCTTCTGGGCAGAGCTTGATCATGGATAGACGTGCCGATCGTGCCTGGTATGCGCTTGATGTCAGGGCTTCACGAGTCACCGCATAGCCCTGCCAGGCGGGGTCTCTCCATGACGAGCATCATGACCATGATGGCCTGGCACGCGAGCAGTAAAGCAAGTCATCCTATTCATTGGACCCTTTCCGGCGAAAACCCTGGCTCTGGAAGTCTCGGCATCGACAACCGCTTCGGCGAGCTTATCCTCTTCTCGTATGGTCGGGGCTGAAACCAAGTGCCAAGCCAGCCTCTGAGGCACACAGCTTCCAATGACACGGCCCAACGGAACTCAAGGCCACCACTGAAACAGAGACTCTCGAAGCTTTTGGACAGGGGCAATTCTTTGACGACACAGCCCGAAGTGCTCGTTGGCACCGCACGCACAGCCACTTAGACTGACGTAGTGGGGCCCCTTAGGAGCCAAGGGTTCCGATTCTCAGTCGATTCCAGCTGCCAAGAAAGCTTCGAGCGAGCTTCCATCTTATGACCCTAACCCCACGACCAGGCAAATACAACCGCCGATCATTTTGCTTCTAGAGGGCCCGCTCACACAAGCACGTGCGCCACTTTTTGTAGGGAGTTATCTTTGGATACTCCGGCCTGCTTCCCGAGCACTGCGGTCATTACTTCCGGTATGAGCCCCCCCTTTGCCGATCACGGGCTTGGATGCTGCGGTGGCTTGGCCCAGAATTTCTGCCCCTTCGTCGCAAACGCTCACGCGAAAGTCGGGAGGCGACGGTGCGTTGGCCGCTCGACTTTTGAGGCGAAGCTACCATGTGGCACATCGTGGGAGAAGAGGACAGAACCAAGACACGCGACATAGTCTAAGTTCTTTAAGTGTATAAGACGCAAAGGCCAGCGGTCCGTGTTGCAACTTTGTCCAACCACATCACTTTTTCCAATCGTTCCAAACTCATTCATCCCCTCGCTTAAGCACCACTTTCGTTCTACGTTTCATTCGCTTGCTCACATCATGTCTCAGAATATCCCTCGCAAGCCGATCCCTAGCCCAGAGGTTGCAATGCATCGTGGCCTCCACAGCTCCCGCTCGACCCTCTGGCGGCCATGGACTCCAGGTCTTCCGTCTGTCAACAATTATGAAAGGTCCATCCACAAATTCCCCTGGCTCGAACAAGACTCAAGCGACGACGAGGAAATGGAGCGTGGGTATGCGGCAGTCCCAAAGACAGACTGTTCTGTTGATGGTCGACGACTTATTCAGTGTGTGCCTGAAGAAGAACTTGACCCTGCACATGTTGAAGAGGGCCCAAAGGAAGAGGCCCAGGAGGAGCTCCTGAGTGATTCCAATATTGTAAGTTAACCCGCCTCCCGACTGTCACTTGCATTGTGTGCTGACAGCCCTTGTAGGTAACCTGGGATGGTCCCAAAGATCCGGCAAACCCGAAAAACTGGCCGAAATATCGACGATGGACGTCCACCATTCTAGTATCCTGCTTTACCTTCATCTCTCCGGTTTCGTCCACGATGCTGGCCCCTGCGCTTCCTACACTTGCCGAAGAGTTCAAAATCAAGTCCGACATTGAGACATACCTCCTCATGTCTATCTTCCTCCTTGCATACGCCGTCGGTCCTTTCATCCTCGGTCCACTCTCCGAGATGTATGGCCGTGTAGTTGTGCTGCAGTCTGCGAATATGGTCTTTCTCCTTTTCAACACAGTTTGCGGTTTCTCGACAAGCAAGGAGCAGATGCTAGCTTTTCGATTTCTCAGCGGTCTAGGCGGTAGCGCCCCCCAGGCTGTAAGTTCCATCCGTTGCCATCAAATGACGCATCTAACAGACCTAGCTCGGTGGTGGTGTCCTCAGTGATTGCTGGCACAAAGAGGAGCGTGGCATGGCCACTGCTATCTACAGTCTGGCCCCCTTCCTCGGCCCTGCGGTTGGCCCGATCGGTAAGTCACTCCTCACGACATACTTGAATGGGCTATTCTGATGTCAAGTTCTACAGCTGCTGGTTATCTCACTCAATACCTCAACTGGCGTTGGATCTTTTGGACTGTTTCCATTGCCGACGCCCTAGTGCAAATCCTTTGCTTCTTCTTCCTTTCCGAAACATACACCCCTAAGATTCTTTATGTCAAGGCCAAGAAGCTCCGAAAGGAGACTGGCAACAAGAATCTGCGTACTGAGTACGAAAACCCGGACCAGACATTTGCTCAGACTCTGAGGAAGAACCTCGTCCGACCGTTCATCATGCTATTCACTCAGCCCGCACTGCAGGTCACTGCTCTCTACCGGGCTTATCTCTATGGCCTGATGTATCTTGTCCTGGCCTCATTCCCAATGGTCTGGATGGAACAATACGGCCAAAAGGCTGGACCTGCGAGTCTTAACTACATCTCTCTCGGCGTCGGCTTCGTCATTGGCCTCCAAGTTTCCGGCCCTATGATTGACAAAGTAAGTGCTGTAACTACTGGCTTCACCATCGCACAGGCACTAACGTTCCCAGGTCTACCGGACCCTGAAAGTCCGCTATAACCATCCTGGCCGGCCCGAATTCCGCGTCCCACTTATGTACCCGACAGCGGTCATCGTTCCCATCGGCTTGGTAATCTATGGCGTCGCCGCCCATAACCGCACGCATTTCATCGTTCCCAACATCGGCGCCGCCATCTTCGCTGCGGGTCTGATTCTCTCCTTCCAGTGCGTGCAGACATACACCATTGACACCTACGAACGATATGCAGCAAGCGCAACAGGAGCTGCAGCCTTTGTGCGGACGATGGCGGGCTTCAGCTTCCCTCTCTTCGCACCCAAGCTGTATGACGCTCTCGGTGTTGCGGCTGGTAACGGTGTTCTGGCCGGCGTTGCAGCCTTGTTGGGAATTGTGGTGCCAACCATCATGTGGAAGTACGGTGCTTGGCTGAGGAGCAAGAGCCAGTATTGTTCCGGCTAAGAGCGGTGTTTGGCAATGGTTCATGTTCACAACTGTTTCTTGATGTTAGAAGCTTTACGACTGACGATATATGATTGGGAGGATCACTATAGACGAGAGCGTTGATAGAAGTTCTCAGAGCGAATCTGCTGCGGTGTCAAACTTTAGAGTATGTTGTAATTCAATCAGACGTGATCGCAACTTTTGGAATTTCTTGCACACGGCCTGCCTGCTCCGGGTCCTGCATTGGCGGAGTGGGGCCGTTGTCTTGGCCAAGTCTTGTCCCCGAAGCCGACCGCGCTCCTACGTTTCCGACTACGGTTCACCACTAGAGATCAATGTAGAAGACATGAAAATTAAAGGCTTTCTTGATGGTTTTCTTAATACTAAGCTATAATGATTCGGTTCCCATGGCGACTCGTCAAGCTGGTTGAGACTCTTGTTCGCAGTGGCTGAGCATCGCTTGCAATCTAGTGAATGCTCTTCTACCAATGAAAGCGAAGAGACATAGATTAATATGATGAAGCACCATGAAAACCAAACGATTCAATAGATAGTCTTTTCGTGTTCAATGATAACAACGATCACATATCATATGTAATTCTGCGCAACACGGCATGACTCGTCGTGAAGACACCGTTTAAGCGATGATCAGCTCTTGAATACAGAACGCAGATACTCGGAATGCTACTTCCGTGGACCACTAAATCCCACGACTTGTTTCCTGCTTTCATCAGTAACACGTGGGTTAATGTTGCTTGGCCGGCACTCGGCCGGCCCTTGGCCTCTTGGCAAGTACCCCAGACGGCATATCTAGCCCCGCGTCCAACGTCTGATATTTGTCCAACAGCTGCAAATACGACCAGGATCCTGGTTCCACAACAACTTGGACATTGGCATTGCCAACTCCAAGTACGTCAGTCTCCAGGACCGAAGTTACAAGCGAGATCATTGGCGCGCCTGAGGCAAAGGATCTTGGAACCTCATACTTGGCTGACATTGTGCGTACTGCTCACGCGAAGGGGGGTGGTAATCAATATAAGCAAAACCCAAGCATCTTGATTTCAGGTGCCTGGTAGACTATCTGAACAGAAAAACGCTGATCTCCTTGCCCGCCAAGGGCAAGCATGAACTTGGCTTTCTCCACCAATAATACTCCGAGGGTCGACTCCATAGACGTGGTCTTGGTTTGGAAGGGTGAGGCAAACCGTATGGTCTTTCACGTGTCTTAGTATTGAATTGATGTCTATATCAGTAGCTTTCTCTCCCAGATCTTGCTGTTCAATATCTCACCACGACGCCAGTCTTCCTCAATCTCTCGCACTTTTGAACTTGGAACTTCTCGAAAATCTCTTACGATGAAGTTGACATCTGTTTATTTAAGCCTTCTCTTTTCGCTTGCAGCTGTTCCAAGCGTCTATGCCTGTAACGGCTACGAAGGAGGCCTCCCCTCCCACAACAACCACCACTCCAATTCGCAGGTCATCGAGGTCCCAGCTGGTGAGGTCTATGACGGGAAGTGGGCTAAATATGACCGGGGATCTGGTGCCTGCAATGAACAGAATGAGGGAGACTGGCGTGATGCCGTCTTCTACCTTCGCCGTGGCGCTACTTTGAAGAACGTCATCATAGGCAAGGACCAAGCTGAGGGCGTCCACTGTGATGGTCCTTGCACTCTTGAGTTTGTCTGGTTTGAAGATGTTTGCGAAGATGGTATCTCGGTAGTAAGTGCGACCAGACAGAAGATCTATGGTCCATTGACTGACGTAATGTGCAGAAGAACGACAGACCTGGCGACGAGACCTGGATCATTGGCGGCGGCGCCTTTAAGGCCCAGGATAAGATCGTACAACATAATGGTTGCGGGACTGTCAACGCAAGTTTCACCCCAAAAACATAATGGCGATACAATGCTGACTCGACTCACAGATTATCAATTTCTACGCCGAAGACTATGGGAAGGTCTATCGCTCGTGCGGGAACTGTAGCAGTCAGTGCAAACGCAATGTTTACGTCGAAGGTGTGACAGCGTACAATGGTGGCGAGATTGTTGGCATCAACGAGGCATTCGGTGACACTGCCACATTGAGGAATGTCTGCACAGATGCGAAAGAGGCGTGCTGGATATATGATGGTTGTGCAGGTGGCTGCTCCCCTCAGAAAGTTCGTCCTTGCTCTGGCTAAGCAGCTAACGACTGCGCGCGATTTGCATGCAGTAGCTCATGGGTAATGTGGCAACCAAAGTCCGGGCAGGCAGGCATGGTTGTTTCCATGCTACTCGGCGTCAAGTGGCATCAGGTGGTTTCATGTACCCAACATACAATTGTTGAAGCATATAGGTGGAAAGATCTGGTCGCTGAGCCCTGCATAAGTTTCACTGCTCATCCAAACATATCATGGCGAAGTCAGGAAATACTCACGACATCATCCCGAGGCCCAGGGTGCGAAGCGGTGCTTTCTCGGTCCCGAGAGTGTGGGAACCCTTCGTTAGCACCAGCAGACCTGTAATGTTTTTGCGAATTGCCAGGGGCATCGCCAGCATTGTCCATGAACGCTAGAACTCGACCAGCATACAGGATGGGCTGGGAGCGGGTAGGTGGAGTCTAGACCCTTTCATGCGCAAGCCTCTTCGCACTTGTTCCGCGTGGCCCATGCAGCCCTGACTGCTGCAACTGAAGCTATGTGCCTGATAGCCGGGTAGCCCGACCGCTAGGTCGTTGTTTCCGGTCAATCAGGCTCATGGAAGCTGGGAATAGCGGACAAATAGAGATCTTATCTTATCAGATGTGCCGGCTGATGGGGCCACGGGTGGACGCCATCGATCCTTCGCGTGCCTAAGTGCAGGTTGTGGCATGCTATTCATATGCCTATTACTTAAACATGCCGTGTTATCCGAAAAGAACACCTGATGGGGACATTTGTTAGTCGTGAAAATCTAATCTGATCGGATATTGCACCAGTGGGTCGTCAGCCGAAGAAATGTGCAGCACCCCCTTAGGAAGAAAATGGGGGAGACCCGAGAAGAGAGAGTACAGAGATTTGATTTAAGCTCTGCCACGGCAGCATTCATGCGACAAACGCAGCCCGCTCCCAAAGTAACCTTCGCCCACGATCACAGCTATGCCTACCCTGCCCAAGATTCGCCTAGGCCTCGGGCGGCAGCAAGTCGACGATGCCATCGTGCCTGCCGCTGCCGAAAGAGCGACGGACGACGCCAAATTGGGTGCCGAAAACGTAGCAAATGAAACGGGTGCACAGGTAGACGAGAAACCAGTGCTTCCCAGCGAGAACGTGCAACATGGTGTGCAAAGCGTGCAGGCCGTCACACTCACCTGGTCGAAGCGGTCACTGGTAGCCGTTTTCGTCAAGTATGTACTATAGCCCTGATTCCAGAGCTCAATTGATTGCTGACATTGTCTTTGTTTAATAGCATATGGTGTCTGTATCTGGTCAATGCTTTTCAGTCTTCAATTCTGTACAACCTGATGCCGTTCGTTACGAGTGACTTCGAGTCGCATTCGCTTCTGACGGTCATCAATATTGTGGCCAATGCAATGACAGCTGCCGTATACATACCGCTCGCTAAAATGCTTGACGTCTGGGGTCGTGCTGAAGGCTTCCTCGTCATGACGAGCTTCGCCACGCTGGGACTGGTCCTCATGGCTACATGCAACAGTCTCTCGACCTTTTGCGCCGCCCAAGTAAGGCTCAATAAAAGAATCGACGAGAAGACGGGAGCTGACTTTCGACTTTTAGGTTTTCTATTCTATTGGATTTGGAGGCATCATCTATAGTGTGGATGTTATTACGGCTGACGCCACGAGCCTGAAGAATCGAGGACTAGCGTTTGCGTTCACTTCTTCTCCCTACATGATAACTGCATTCGCCGGCCCGAAGGCTGCAGAAGGATTTTACGAGAACGTCAACTGGCGGTGGGGATTCGGATGCTTCTCGATTATCCTACCCTGTGTGGCGGCTCCTTTGTTCGCAATCTTAAAGTTCAACCTTCGAAAAGCCGAGCAGCAAGGACGTATCCTCCGGGAAAAGAGCGGAAGAACAGTGGCGCAGAACATTTGGATGTTTGTGACGGAATTCGATGGTAAGAAAACCCTCAATTGGATACAGAAGAGATTGACTGACTTGGCCTGAATAGTTCCCGGAGTCATCTTGTTCGCCGGCGGCCTCACTACATTCTTACTGCCCTTCACACTCGCCGACTCAGCGCCTGACGGTTGGTCGTCAGGTTATATCATCGCCATGATTGTCGTGGGCTTTATCGTCCTCGTAATCTTTGCGCTCTACGAAACATTCCTCGCCCCCACACCGTTCCTCAACGTCCACCTCATGACCGACAGAACAATCATTGGAGCTCTTGCCCTCTGCGCGACATACCAAGTCTCCTACTACTGCTGGAACAGCTACTTCACCTCGTTCCTCCAGGTTGTGAATAACCTCAGTGTTTCAGAGGCGGGATATGTTGCAAGTACTTTTGATGTCGTGTCCGGCATCCTTCTTTTGATCGTTGGTTTCTCCATCAGAAAGACGGGATACTTCAAGTGGCTTCTTTACTTTGCCATTCCACTCTACGTCTTTGCACAGGGGCTAATGATTCATTTCCGCCAACCCAACGGTTATATTGGATACGTTGTCATGTGCCAAATCTTCATTTCAGTTGGTGGAAGTATCTTCATCATCGTTCAACAGCTGTCGATTCTCGCCGCTGTTGACCACCAGCATGTCGCTGCAGCTCTGGCACTCCTCAGCGTTGTTGGTAATATTGGCGGTGCTGTTGGCAACTCTATCTCTGGCGCTATCTGGACCAACACTTTTGCCAAGGCCCTCGAGCGATATCTCCCGGCCACGGCTTTGCCGGATCTGGCCGAAATCTACGAAAGCCTCGAGACGCAGCTCAGCTACGAAGTCGGCTCCCCGGAGCGACTTGGTATCCAGCAGGCGTATGGATACGCACAAACCAGGATGCTTGCGACGGGCACTGGTATCATGGCACTGTCATTCATCTGGGTCCTTCTCATCCGCAACATCAACGTTGGAACCATTAGGCAGACTATGGGCAATGTCTTCTGATTAGCAGTCGAAAAGGCGATGAATCCTATTATAGAACCTGGATTATACAACTCTGGACAGAAACCTTGGTCCTTTTGGTCAAGCAATGGCTTTACTCCAGACCCTCAAACTCTTTTGCACACCTCGCGAACTGTGTCCAGGTCATCAGCTCATCATCCAGAATAGCATGCGACTCGTCTAATTTTGCCCTGCCGTGATAGCCAAACTCAGCCAGGAGTCGCAGATTCTGTAACAACTCCTCTGCTGCAAAGGCTGGGAGGCCTTGGCTTGTTAGGACTCCCCTGTAGGCATCATGTGTCATCTCAACAAATGCGACATTCTCGCCTGCTTTGGGAAACAGGCTTTTGAATGTTTCGATGGCCTCAGCCGGCGTCATATAATTTGAGGCACCAAGGATTTGCTTGCCCAGAACTTGCTCTCGGTTCAAGATCATACCTTTGACAAATTTGCCTGTGCCGTTGACGTCGAAGAAGGGGATTTCGGCAGTCGAAGGTGCGGGAAGGAAGAATCTCCATCCGTCTTCGAGAGGTGTCTTTTTTATCAAATTGGTGGTCAAATTTGATGCGTAAAGTCCAGGCATGAAGAATGATGCGGGAATGTTGAGCGACCGGACGTAGCTCTCAACCTCTGCTTTGCTGTCGAAATGATAAACACGAGACAGGACACCACCCGATACTGCAAAGCCATGTGAGTATGCCCGTGCGAAATGTCCGATGGCATTGTGCTTACGTTTGGTGATGTTGGGCAATGAGCTCCAAATGTAATGCTGAACTTGGGCTTCCTGGAGTGTGGTGATCAGCCAAGGTTACCCGAGGGCAAACGCAAGCGTTCCCAAAGGTAGTAAGGTACCTTTACTGCATCGGCAATATTCTTCCCTTGCTGAACCTCGAGGTTCTTGTCTAAGCTCTCCCAATAATTCGTGACCCCGTAAACAACTGTCGACCCTTGTACGGCTTTAAGAACAGATACTCGGTCGTTCAAATTGGCCTTCATGTAAGTCAGTTGACGAAATTCCAACACGTACTATTGAGTTGTTACCTCAACGACCTCAACGCCTTTGGCCGCAAGGTCCCGGGCCTTTTCGGAAGACGCGTTGCGAGTGACACCACGAATGAGCCACCCGCTCAGCTTGCGGTCCCCAAGGAAAGTTTTGATAACACTTCCTCCCTGGAGGCCAGTGGCCCCGAAAATAGTGATGACTTGCTGGTGCATGATAGGCGATGATTTCTGGCGCACTTAACTTGGTAGCGTGGGATGACAATCGAGCAGTGCGGGTAGAATGAGGAAAGATGACCCAAAATCTGAAGTGGATTGAGACTTGTAAGTGTCATTTTTATTCGCGTGCATCAGCTTCTTAAATGTATTTTTGCTACCAGATCGCGGTCCTGACGGCGCAGACCTGAGTTATTGAATCGCGTGCAGTCAGCCTCTCGGGGTTCGGCGTCGGGATGATTTTCGCCCATTCACGGAGACAATTGACCGCCCCCCACCCACTCAGAGCCGTGCACAGCAATTGAAAATGGCAGCTTCTGCAGGCCTCAAAATTACACCGATTGACTCCAGTCTTTTGGTTGGCTATCTTTCCGACTGGGTGCCTTATTGTAACGACTTGAATGCAAACGCCGTGTTTCAACCGGAGACTTTCCACTCTCACCAGAAGAAAGCTCTTCCAGAACGAATGCAGCTACTCAAAGCCCCCACCATAAACGGGGGAGGACAGGATCGAGAAGATCCTAGGGCGACGCTTAGATTGCCAATCGATGTTATAGACGGAGACACAAGAAATTGGATCACAAGATGATGTGGGACGCCGAAGTAAGACTCAAGCAGCCGTGATCTCATTAAGCAGTAGGCCAGTACTGTAAAGCTACCCAGGGAGCCGATCAAAGCACCTCTTGTCCGGCACAGGATCAAATTTCTAGCCCCTGTGCCCTTTTGAATCGAGTCCACTGCGCTATCCTCTAGGAAGGATCTCATCCCCGTCTCTAACCGCCGCCGAATTCAATACCCTCAAACTCCGTCCTCGGTTGACCATTTTCAAATGGAGAATCTCAAGCTGTTGGCAATCCAGTGCGCTTCAAGCTTTGCCCGCTCGAATGGGTGCGCGCATCACTTACTGCTCCTCCTCCTCCTCGGCCTCCTCCTCGAGCTCAAAGGCCTCAAGCTTCTCACCGCTCGCGGGGAAGGTGGAGGCGCGCTTCATCATCTTGGCGAGAGTGCGCTCCGTCTCGAGAATGGAACGGGCCAGGCGGCGGCGAGCCTCGGTGGCGTTGGCGGCACCGGCCATCTGGACGGGCACGACACCGCCAAAGGGACCGGCGCGGGCGGCGTTCTGGCAGCGGACGAGGCAGACCTGATCTTGGCCGGCCACGGTGCCGGTGCAAGTCTGGTCGGCGGGGATGGCGGCGACCATGGGGAAGTCGGTCTGAGCGCCGCCACGGTTGCGGGAGTTCTGGCCGGGAGGGGTGGTGGTGACCTGGATGTTCTCCCAAGTGGCACCGGTGCCGTCGGCATTGATCATGCACTCGTAGGGGCCACCACCATCACCGTTGACCTGGTGGAGAGTCATGTCGACGGAACCGCCTTGAGAGACCTGGGGGAGCTGACCGCCCATCTCGGACATGATGGCCTTGGTGCCGGACTCGAGGCTGTTGGGTCCGGCGCCGACAGTCTCGCCGAAGGTCTGAGCGGACGCGCCACGGAAACGAGTGGAATCCTGCTGGAAGGGGTCGCGACGGGTTCCGTCACGAGGAGTGTTGGTGACGACACCGAGAGCCATGCCCTGACCACCCTGGTCACCAGTGGCGGCGATAATGGCACCGTGACCAGCGACGAGCTGGGCGGAAGCCAGGAGGGTGGCGGCGAGAACGGACTTGGTGAACATGATGTCGGAGTAAGGGGTTTGAGGAGTTTTGATGGATTAGAGGAATAATTAAAGCGGAAGAAGCAGCTGAGAGAGAGAGAGAATAAACTGGAAACGATCTCCTAACCAGAGGAGATGACCTGCCAGAGGAAAAAGAGAAGCGAAGAGAGAAAGGTCGAGGAGAAGAGCTGAGGTGATTGTTGATGCTGATGATGAGGAGAGGAAAGAAAAACAGACGATAGACAGGATGGATGGTGTTTCTTTATAGTCCATCGTGAGAGACACCAGCAACGACAAGGCCGCTGATGCCCAGGCTGATCCGAGCAGCATGCTCGGCGATGCTGCCCGGCTCACGCCCAGCAACGACAGTCCTAGTGCGACTGCCTCAGAATGGCGGTCCTGGCGCGGCTCAGCTCCGAAAGAACAATGCGATGAGACTCAAACGTCAGCATCACGAGGTGGTTGGCGCCGAAACTGGGCCTTTCCCCCTTGGAAGATGAGATGAGGCTCAGTAGCGCAGGGCACGAGAGAGCCTCTTGGTACGACCGTGCGACGAACCAATCGCGACCCAGGTAATCGACCGGGAAGCACACAGGGTATCGGAAATCATTTGTAGCGCAGCCGAAGAAACATTCATGCGCGGGGCGGGAGCAAACACTAGCAATCCGAGGGCGTTCGACGAACGGAGCGTGGTGTTTGAGAATCTCCAAGATGCCGGGAAGGCCTACCCTGGCCCATGCTGGGCATTGACATTGTTGGGGGTCGTGCGGTTCGCTGCATATGGGTCCGTTTCGGAGCCTTCAGTGAGGCGGGGAGAACCTCTGAGATGGGGTCTACCGAGCCCCATCCAAGCCGGATCTATCCCAGAGCCTCGCTGCTTTTAGGCTGAGCTGAGACGAAGCAAGCCCTGAGCTCGGTGGTGGCTCATTAGCGAGCAAGGCGAACAAACCAGAGCTGGCAACTGCGTATCCCTCTGATGCTGAAATGCGGCCTCAGTACTTCACATCATCGACAGCCAGGTAGCAGAAAATAGGTATCGGCAATTGTGTTCAAGGGTAGAACGAGCAGTACATATATATACCTATACATTACTTATGCCTGATAGACCTATCTACTACAATCGTATACCCAATAAGTACCCATCAAGGTCCATAGTAGAGCTGTTCAAGCAGACGGTGGCCAGTTTATGTACTGAGGCCGAATTTCGGCATCAAAGGGATACATCATTATGGGTTCTTTTGGGCGCCCCCGCTCGATAGCGCCGAAGCGCAGTAGCGCAGCCATCGGGCACACACCGCCTGCCTCCACAGTCCAGGACCTGCAACCAATGCTTGATGCAAAAAGCAAACCCCATGAAGCTGGAGTCACTGTGAAAAAACTTGACTACCAATTCGACATGATGAGCAACGAAGAACTCGAGAAGCTCGCCCATCCAGAATTTTGGGACGAGCGCTATTCGACGGCTGAGGCTGACACGCCGACGCACGAATGGTTCCGGACGTTCGACGAGCTTTTGCCTTTCCTCGAGCCCAACTTGTTCGGGTCGCGGGGACCCTTGACCAACCCTAAGATTCTTCACCTCGGATCCGGGGACAGTGTACGCTGGTCCTGACACGATGTCTTCTCGGGTATTAGCGGCTAAGATCGATCCAGACCATACCACGAGACCTGGCAGAGCGTGGATACAATGATCAACTCTGCGTCGACTTTTCCAATGTGGTCGTAGATCTCATGTCCAAGAGACATAGCGACATCAAGGGCATCGAATGGAGGCTCCTGGACGTCTGCAATATGGACAGCGTCCCTTCAGGGTCCATAGATGTCGCATTCGATAAAGGGACTCTCGACGCCATGATCCACGGTAGTCCGTGGAGCCCCCCTCAGGACGTCGTGGAGAAGACTGCCGCTTATATCCAGGAGGTCAGTGGTGACTGCCTGGCGAGTGCTATGAGGAATTTTCCATCGCTGACGCTCAGTCTAGGTATCCCGTGTCCTCAAAAATGACGGCGTGTTCCTCTACGTCACATACCGTCCCCAGCACTTCATCATGCCTCGGCTCAATTGCCCAGGCGTCGACTGGGACATTGAAGTCGTCGTCCTGGGAGGGGATGCCAGCCTCCCTTATCATGGATTTGTTGTGAAGAAATTGACGTCAGCTGTCAATGCAGAAGACCATTCAGAGGGTTAAGCTCAATACTAGCCGGCATCAATCAAGATACCTAGAATTTCATGCGGCTCGAAGCACCTGCAAAGCCTGCAACTTGGAGGCCGTCCCGGACCCGCCTTGGAAGGAGAATTCGTGAATCAATTCGTACTTCATCATACCCCGTCGCTTGGGTCACTCACGCCCATCATATCACTCACGCCAATCATGCCTTCAGCTTCATAATTCCAGAGTGCGTCTGTTTGATTTATGGGGGCTATTAGAATCACCCTATTGGCCCAGCGCTCTCACCACGGAGAGTTCACCAGCATACATACGTGAAATCAATCGCAGGTGTGCAGTGCATTGACCAACATGCTTGTCTGCATCTGACGTATCAATAACAGATCCGCGCGATGGACGACATGGCAGCCGCCAAACTCATGCCAGCCGTGCTTTTTTGTTCGTTCTTGGTGTTGGTCTCCTTCAACATTTTTATCGTGATAGAGAAGCACAGCTGAGAGACCTCCTCCACCATGCCATTCTCTTCAGCCAAAATAGCTTCGGCAGCTGATTCTGATTCACGACTGTCTCCGCCTGAGTCTGCACATACTCGGTCGGCTCGGTCCCGATCACCTTTGCGCCATTTGAAACGACTCTTGCACAGAAACAGCAAATCGGCGGCGGCTACAGAGGAGAAATGCGGAACCAAGGGACAGAGAGCTGAGTACATGAAGAACCCCCCCTTTCGCGGTTCTTTAGAGTCTTTCCCTTAACCAGATCTAGAAACCTGGCAGCTTTCGCAAACACGTCGAAGACCGAAGACGGTGTCACGGAACTCAATCACTTTCCAACGACGGACGATGCCCGCCCCGCAACAGAGAATGGTGGATACCGGCTCACTGCCGCCTACAAAGAAGCCCTCTATAGCTTCAACAAACAAGCAGTCGAAGCTATTCAACAGGCCGACGGGGTGGGGGATTTGATCAAGAGCCTAGACCAGAAGCGGGACGAGCTGCGCAAGGATTCGTGGTTCCGTAGAGGCCTGGATTTGCTACATGAGCCTCTGAGGAGACTAAATCTTCTCCTTCCTCTGGGCAAAGCCTTCGCCAGCCTAGATCCCACAGCAGCCACAGCCTTTGGCATCGTGGCAACTGTCATCGGCGTAAGGATTTATCGCCCCATACTTAGCAGGACCCCATTCAGGATGAAACTTGGAGCTACACTAACAAAACTGTGACAGATTGCTGTCGGCGCTTGTGGCGCCGTGGAAACAATCAAGGATAACATCCAGCAAATGCTGGACTATGTACCAATGATCCAACAATGCGATGATCTATGTGAGGCTGGAGGGTCGGAAGCAATTTATCAGGTATGTCCCAGGATCAGCTCCGGTAACAAGCCATATATCGTCACATTTCCATCTTCGCTTGCCACCACCATACCCCACCTCTGGATGCCTCATGCCGTCTTCTTCCCTGACTCCTCATCCAGGCACTAGTTAAGGTCTACAAAGAATTGATAGAGTTCTATCTCGTCACTTCGAAATCGCTCCGTTCGAGTGCTAGGGCAACCGTGGAGCAACTTGGCGGCGAACTTGCCAGGGCGACCGGCCGCTTCAATGCAGCTGCTGAACGTCTTTCAAGAACAATCAGCATTGCCACCCACCAAAGGCTTCAGCAAACAAATGACCTGCTCAAGGACCATCATGGTATCTGTCCACCTCACTCTCAGTTGAACGCAGGCCCCCACGCTAACCGGATTTCCGTCCCGCTGCTAGTGGGGAACCTGCTCGGTCACACCAAATTCAAGGCCATAGAGATGTTCCACTTCGAGATGAAAGAGCTTCGAGCCGACCAGGCTTGTGAGTGGATCCTCAAAGACCGCAAATTCCGCGCCTGGTTAGCATCCGATAGTTCTCAATTCCTGACCTTCTATGGCGATATGGGGTGCGGGAAGACGGTCGCCGCATCTTATGTCATCGACTACTTACAGGGAGTCTTTCCTCGGACTTTGGTGCTGTACACATACAGCAGAACGCAGGCGAGCACCAACACTCTCGAAAGCATCTACATGAGTCTGCTCATTCAGCTGGTCGAGAGGGAGCGGCGTCTCAAGTTGGCGTTCAAAAGGTTGTACGACGAAGAGAAACGGTTGAGCCTCTTTGTCGACCCTATGTGCTCTACGCCTGCTCTGGAAAGTCTCCTAAGGGAAGGCCTCAAATTCTTTCTTCGGCCGCTATACATTGTGCTCGACGGTCTCGACGAATGTGACGGCAGTACCTGCAAACGCATCATCGACTTCTTCAACCAGTTGTGTGCAGAGCACCAAGCAAGCCCGAGCCCTCTACATGTCAAAGTTCTGGTCTCCTCAAGAGTTCAGGAGCCAATATACCAACTACTACGTGACTGCGCCACAGTATCGTCATTCCCGTCGCGCTCAGGCTCGGATGACCAGCTTCGGAAGCGAGATTCAATCATCGTGAGGCGTCACATCGAGTTGAAGTTGGACGGCATGTTAACTGAGGAAGTCAAAGACTGGCTACTCGAAAAGCTGCCCGCCCTTTCAGACGGGAACGCGATCTGGATCGACATGGTGATTAGAAACATCCAGAAGAGCAGGATGAGAAATAAGGCCGCGCTCGGGTTATTGATGAACGCGCCACGCAACCTCGCCCATATGTATACGGGCTTATTCGAGCATGTCGTGGACGGGCTCGACGAAAACAGACGCTTTCTTTCCGCCGCCCTTGAAATACTTGTCACGGTTCGACGTCCGGTCGATATGGAGGAGCTGACCTATGCCACGGCAGTAGCCTTGGCAACTGGAGACGCTTCAGCCCGCCGGCCAGCCTTGTCGAAACTGTCTTCAGTGGCTTCCTTGCCGGACATTGATGTACTTCGTCTCAAAGATCTCATTGGGCCCTTCGTAGCGTCGCTGCGGGATAATCCACCCTCCAACGAAGCCGGCAGGCCGATTGCAAGGGAGCGGTTTGCCCCGCTTCACGCCTCGTTGACAGACTGGATACTACTTGTGCAGCCCTCGGACTGGAAGGATAACTTGAAATTGGCTGATTCAAAGTCAAGCGTGCGGGAGGACCTCCAAGGACACCGGAAACGAGCGATGGAGGGCAAAATGCTCAGAATATGTGCCACATACCTTCTGCTGGACGAATTCGGTGACTTAGAGCTTTTCAACGACTCACAAAAGCAGGCTGCAGCGATACCTGACGGCTCTCTGCTGAATAGCCCATGTCCGGATGACGAGGACAAGAACCACGAACCCGCCATGAGTGTGAACGAAGACAGATTCTTCGATCCGGTGGAACAAGGCTTTGGGCCCCTTTTCGCTTACACGGCGAGCTTCTGGACCAGTCATCTGCAGTCGGCACCAGCCGAATCTTTGCCTTCGATTGACCAGCTTCGAAAGCTCTCCGCGTTTCGATCCAGGAGGTTTTCCAACTGGCGCGATCAATACCGCCGCCCGGACTGCACCAAAAGGGAGCAGCATGAGATGCTGTGTCAGGATCCCCTGGGTATTGTGGCCCTTTTTGGACCCCTCTCCCTGCTGATGACGATGGTGGAAGAGAGCGACTTTGACGACCACTACACGTTTCACCAGCATTCGCTTGTCGAAGCTCTGAAACTTTCGCTCGACTATGAAGACTTTGCAAAATGTCACGTCTTGTTCCAGCACCCAAGCGTTCAATACGACAAATTCTTCCAGGAAGCCCTAGCCTGTTACCACAGAAAAAGAGAAGGGATAGAGCAAAGGCCGCTCGCCCCTGAATGGGATACCCTATTCGGCATCGTCCATGACATCACCGCTTCCTTGACCAGGAACAAACTAGGGAACGCCCTCATGTGCAACGCTGCTCGCTACGGCTGTTTGCCACTGCTCAAACACCTCCTCGATGCCGCCGAGAAGAACATCATGCTTATGGAGGTCGTGCTGACGCCCTGGCGCGAACACCCCGGAGCGGACCAGGGCACCGCGTGGGCATATCATCAGTCGATAGCCCGCGCCGCACGCTTCAGTCACGTCGAGACCATAAAATTCCTCCTAAGCTGGCCGGGGATCGAGGCGCACTTTCTCCATCGCGATTCCTTTGGATTCAACGTATTCCACGTGGCCGCGCAGTCTCAAAGCTCCGCAGAGACGGTCGCGCTGCTTCTTAGTTACTCTAATGTCGGCGTTGATGCCGAGACAGTGCAGGGTGACACACCCCTCAACCTCTACGCGTTTGACCACAACTGCAATCTCGAGTGCGTGCGGCTCCTGCTCGAGGTGGGCGGCGCAGACGTCCGCGGGGGTCCCGGGCCCCCTTCTCCCCTGCTGCGTGCGGCCATGAACGGGAACGAGGCCCTTTGTCATATGTTGGTGACGGTAGGGAGAGCCGATCCGCAGAGCGTGCTTTCTTTGAATGCCGGAGAGGTTCCAGGGTTGTTGGCGAGTATCAACTTCGGGAGTATCGATGCGGAGCAGCAGCGGAGCATGGAGCGGAGTCTGCTAAAGTTACTTTGTGGCTTGGCTCACATTGACGTTGGCTCGCAGCTACCTGCTGATTATGCACAGCAGTAGCCTCTCAAGTCTCTTCCAGAGTGTGAGGAGAACTTGACTGGTGCAGCGCCTCAACATACATGATCAGTCGTCTATGAAAAAGATCTCAATGTAGACATCTACCTTTGACTGGAACGCCAGAGGCCCTGTTGGGAAGTCCAAAAAGCCTAAAGGCACAGACGTCCACCATCGATCACGAAAAGGGAGTCATGTGTGGTGCGATTACTATACAAGGCGACTATTCGATTGTTATACATAATATACATGAATTAACCTCGACTGAGGCGTTACTGAGCTTGGACTGAGCCGATCAAGAGTAAAAACGGCAAGGACGCTAACCTCATAAGGCCATCACTATGGGGGGTGGTAAAACCGAGAACCCTGTCAGCCACTGACTACAGCAGGGACGGGACCGGCATTGGCTTGAGATGTAGTCTTGCTTTCATCTCAATAACAAAGATGGTTCTTGCGGAAAATTACACTGAAGTTCGTCGATCAAGGACGGACGCTCAGCTTTCGATGGCAGCTAAGCCGCTGCTTGAGTCTGTTTGATATTGGCTCATGCTTTAATCTGTCCAGCCTGCGCTGGTCAATATAGACAGGGCTCCCGAAGATACACGGAGCTCTGGCGGTGGCTTGCTGAGCTGAGCGATGCCCGTAATCATTGTTCATGACTCTTCCCGCGGTAACCCGTCCACACCGTGCCTGTTCCGGCTTGGTAGTCTATGCCGATGTGCCTCCCGTCGACACATTTGAGCCGCCTGAATTTGAGAGGCAGCGAAATACGACACATGTCTTGGCGTCCGGCCGGCACCGCCTGTCTGAGGACAAGGCCCTGGGGCGCAATCGCAATCGCAGACGATTGTATTGGGAGGTGTTCTTCTCCAGATAGCGTCTTATGGCAATGTTTGGCGGCGTTTCGCAGATCGCAGTGATGCCTTGTAAGGATCATCGGCAGTGATCTGCCAAGGCCCTGATTTTGGTTCGGGACCCATTACAATGAGTTCGCCTCCTTCTAGGTGACAACACATCGGCTGCCTGCTGCTCCGGCTGAGGCGGCATGTACATGCATGCAAAGGACGGGTCGAAACGTGGAGGTCCAGCTGGGACACCCCCTCAAGCCCTTCTCATGGCCCAGGCACAGGCACACCCCGTTCCCGGCTCTGTGAGCCGACCAAGAGGCCAATTAGCGGTGCGAGGTGTGATGTCTCTTTATTCAGTGGCGGGCGGCCGTGTCACAGCGCTGTCTGTGCTCTTCTGCACCGCACAAGCTCAGGTGTGCCTTCGACCACCTTGGGGCGCTGGCCGAGGCAAGCAGACCAGCCATAGTGACATTTAGTAGGTGAACTCTGTGTGCAGTGAAACAACATGTCAACAGTTGGCCTGGTACCCGACCAAATCAGCTTTGCTCGGTATGAAGCCGCTCGGTGCCTCCCGCCCCTTTTCACTCCAACACGCGCCCTGGAGACATCTCAGTGGAACGCTCGCAGCTGGCCGCAAAGACGCGCGGCTGGGAATTGGGGGCCGTTTCGCACATGTCCTCAACGCGGCTCCGCGTCAAGTGGGCAAGCAACGGACCCTTGGACGGATAAGTAAAAGCAGTGCAACGACGATGGCCCATGGGTCTTGGCGATGATCCGCGAGGCCAGCTGCGGTCGTTCCCGTCCCCCAACCCACGACGCACATTTGGCGATCCCTGACAGCAATCAATCAGCGCCCACGAGCCAATCGCTTTCACCAATTTCTGCTGCGGCGACCAGCGGGAATCAACGGTCAGCAGGCTCGTGCCAGGGCCGGATTATGGCTGGTGCTTGACATGACACGCTACAAGCCGCAAGATGGTTTGATCCCAGTGATCATCCGGGATTTGGTTGGTCGTGCGTCGCACCATGGAGAACACACCATGAGAAACAAACATTGGATCGTGTTTGCTTTTCTTCAATTCTTGTGAAGGTTTTCAGCCCCTCCCCCTCCCCCAAAAAAACCATTTCGTCGAGGCCAAACTCGCCACGAATCATTCAAGTCCAGTTTATCATTTTATGTCTTGCCTGGCTAGATCTTCAATCTTCATCCTGCCAGCGTGTTACAACACAGGAGTGAGGGATCGTAAGGCGGGTCCAGCATGTTGTCGGCTTATGGTGTCGGTGCGACATTGAGGCCGGATTCTGGGGGCACCAAGGATGAAGGCTACACAAATGCTGTGGCTTTGTTTACGGCTAGCGAGACACCAGCTGAGCCGCGCATTTGTCTGAGAGAAGACGTCATCAGTTCAGAGACGCCTCTAGCATCTGTCACCTACTGCAAGGCCCCTCGTCAAGAGTGGGCTCTGGCAGTGTACCCAGAGAAGCCTACAAAGGCCCTCTTCATCAAGGCCCAAAACACAAACACCATGGAGGGGAACTGGGAAATCGAGTCCCATTGAGCCATATCGATCACCTCTTGAGTTATATCACCTAATCCTGTGAGCCTGCGCATTTCCATCTCTATGTCTCTCCCATCCGCTATTCGTGTTGGCCCACTGGTAGCAAATAACCAATCAATGCATTTACGCATTCGGTGCGAAAATCCACGGCGAGCTCTCCACCTTATCGCCAATCGTGACATACTACACTGAACTCAGACCATGGGCAGGGCTCTCATTCGCCAGCGCTTGCAAATCCGTCCCCTGGGACTGGGATCACCATGGTACTAGCGACCAAAGGTCCCAAGATTGTAGCGCCTAAGCCCGGGGAAGGACTAGCCATGGAACGCTTGGCGTCTGCTTGACCACTCGACATCCGCCTTCTTCAAGAATTGTGACCTTCAGGATTCGTAAAATGTCGGACTCAATGCTCCAACTTATTCTGCCCTCATAACTGATGAAACCCGGAGAAGCCCATTCGCCAGCAAGTTCCGTCGTTGCTTATTTACCGTATTCATTTGCGACCGCCTCCATGTCGGACAGCGAGTCGCGTTGCACAGCTTCACAAGAGCCCGCTGCAGGAGAGACTTGTTGCTGCGGGAAGTGTGCAAACACGTCCAAAAAGGGGGGGAGACGACACCATCGCAAATCGCGGCTCGGTTGCAAGACGTGCAAGAGGAGAAAAGTCAAGGTTCGCCTCCCCCACCGCTTGCTTGCATACCTAGCAAAAGTAACTGCCAAGCTCACAATCACCGTGCAGTGTGATGAAGCCAAACCAGAGTGCGGCAACTGTCAACGTTTTGGAGTTGCCTGCGACTTTCTGCCAACGGCCATTTTCAAGGCCCAGACGAAGCATACCGAGGAGCCCCAGATCCCTGAATTAAGACGGAGGGGCCGGCCCCGATCAGACTGGAGCTCCTGGGCCGAACAGGTCCACTCCGGTTCGCCTTCAGCGCAAAGTCCCGAAGTGGGATCCGGAATCACCTCCCAAACCCCGCCGTCAACGCAACCGTCAGAGTTCTCAAACTCACTCACAAATCATCTTGATGTCGAGAATATTGAGCTCTTTCACAGTTTCATGGTCCATACGGCACCTACCTTAGGGGACAGCTCTAAATTCTACCGGGATAAAGCACCCGCCCTCGGCTTCCGCCATCCCTGTGTCCTCAACGGCATGCTGGCCCTGGCCGCCCTTCATCAGGTCAGGTTACAACCCGAGGATGCCTTTCGCTTCCTCGCACTGGCCGACCGGCACTCTACTACTGCCTTGCAGCAGGCCACCGATCTTCTCCCGTTCATCAGCCGGGAAAACGGTCAAGCCCTGTACATGGTTACCGTAATGATCTGCTTCACAGCGTTTGCCAGAGGTCCCAGTCCTGGGAACCTTTTAGTAGTCGCAGGAAATGGAGAAGTACCCTGGGTGTCGCTCATCTCTGGGGTGCGCTTTGTTGTCGATACACTTGGGTGGCCAACCATCCTGACAGGCGTCCTCGCCCAAGAACCAGAGCCCGAAGCCGCAGACATAGCAACTCAGCATCAAGTTCCAGCTTTGCCTTCTTTTGTCGAGTGGGAGAAGTCTCTGGATGAAGTGTCTAGTCTCGTGAGCATACTGGCCGACTCCAAGGACCGAGACGTTTACCAACACGACATCAAATTGCTATCGAATGCATTCCGGACGACTTTTGGAACCATGAACGAGCCAAAGTCGTTCATCAAGGGGGAAGTGCAGCATGTGGTATCATGGCTATACCGGATCGAAACGGGTTTCGTGGAGCGACTGGAAAGGAAAGAACCCATCGCCCTGATTCTGCTCGGTCACTTTGCTGTTTTGTTGCGGACTCTCGACCGGTACTGGTTCATAGATGGATGGGGTAAGCATATACTGAACGAGGTACGCCAGGCCTCCGGGGCAGCACATAAGTGGCTTGCATGGCCCACGGCCGTCATTCAAGAGTCCTTCGTTTAAGACAAAGGTAGGCCTTTTAATACAGATGACCATGATCGGGATGAACGTTGAAAACTTGTTTAGATATTTCTATCTAGTTGGCAGCAGTCGGAAGCTTGAATCCACTTCTCATTCTGCGCTGGAACATACCAGTGGGGTCATACTTCGCCAAAACCTTCTGCAAGAACTCAACGTTGGCTTTGCCATAACTCGAGATTGGGTCTTGCGTGGGATCAGCATAATTGATGTAGACCCATGGTTGAAGCGCGTCAATCGATTTGGCAAACTCCTCCAGGGCTGCTTTCATCTCCAATCCCTTTTCGTGTAGCAGCGTCTCATGCTTGGGTTCCCTGACGGTACAAGCGAGGAGCCACATGGGGGAGTCCCCTCGACCTGGTCGAGACCGAGGACATTACCACGACGAAACTCCCCGATCTCGGCGAAAAACTTTGGAATGGGCTGGAAAAGATTCTGGGTGCCCAGCTCGTTCGTCGACACAGTCTGGAGCATCTCGGCTACGAGTTTCTCGTGCAGCTCAGCAGACTTTTGAATGACACGCTCATCATTCTTGAAAGTCAAGGTAAACCAGACATTGCTGTGACGGATCTTGTTAGCATTACCTATACCAAGATTGAAGACGCTCGACTGACTGTAGGCTAGGAGGCAGAAGGTAGTCATTTGACATGCTACCCATGGATGGGATCTTGATGTCGTTGAAGAGCTCTGGCACTGCCAAGGCTTGGTCAAAAGCCGGAGGTGCCTCTTTGCCACTCGTGTCAACGACGACTTGGGCAACAAGGATGTCTGGAGACATTCCAGGATTGTAGGTGAAATTGATAAGGTACGCAGCCTCTGGATTCTTGTGGTAATTTGCTGTGAAGTTCACCATGGCAGCCCCGACAGCCGCTGTGTGAGAGTTCTCTGATGCACGTATACCTCCCCACAAAGGCTTCGAAGGGAATGTTTCGAGATCGAAGCGAGTGACGATACCGAAGTTGCCCCAGCCACCCTTGAGCGCCTTGAGGAGGTCAGGATGACTGTACTTGTTGGCATTGATGATACTGCCGTCGGCCAAAACGATTTCGGCATTGACAACACTATCGCAGCCGAAGCCGTACAGGCCAGTGTAGTACGAATTGCCCCCGCCAGTCAGGAAACCACCGATGCCAACATTTCCATCGCGTCCGCTGGGCACGGCAACACCAGACCTTTCAAGTGCGAGAAATGCATCACCCCATCTAGAAGCAGGCTCGATCGAGGCGATACCTGTCTCTGTGTTGTATGTCGTAGCCTTCAGATAGCCAAGATCAATAGTCACACTGCCGTCGATGTTATTGCCTCCTGCCCAATGACTGTGTCCGCCGCTGCGGACAGCAAAGTTTCTTGTCGTATTTTGACCGAGGACACGGAATATCGTGGCGACATCTTGTGCATTGTTCGGTCGAACTATGCAAGCGGGTCGAAGTCTCGAGCTGCTTGACCACCATGACTCGAGGCGGGCTTCGTATGCTTGCGTCGGCCACAGCAAGGACCTGGTCCCCAAGCCCCGCCGAGAGGAGCGTCTCGCACTGTAAATTGAAGGTGTCAGAAATTTCTCTCATTCAGTGGTGAGAAACGTTAAGGCGGCGCTGAGGACTCACAGCTTCCACCCCTTCGTCGCTACAATCGCGTGCAGCAAGAGACATAGTAGCAGATAGCAACAGAGCTAGATGATGGGCAAGGAACATTGCTTTCAGACAGGTAGCGGAACAAGGTCGATAGAAATCAATGCCAGCTGCACATATATGATCAAAGACGTCTTGCTGATGCATGCCCCCAACGTCTTTTGTATGCATGCAGCACGGCACGGTATCGGAGTACCCGGAGCATTTGGGTTCCTGTTTACATGAACCCCTGTAGCGACCTGCGCCGCGGAGGCTATCCGGCGGCTGCCGGTCTCCGATGCAGTGACTAGGATGAGGGCGAGCAATGGCGACTTTGAGCGATCCTTGTCTCGGCTCCAGCTTGCAAAGCAGAACTGAGCCCGAAGTGTTCCAGGTAGAAATGTACTGCGGCTACAATTGCGGCAGCACGGAATGATATTGTTCCAACAAATATACAGAAGAATAGACCATGTACGAAGAACAGGGTGTCAGGGTCTTCCAAAAAAAAAGAAAAAAGAGCCGAACCGCGCCAGGCGACGCCTCTCTGCAGGAACATCCCGATCCTCACAGCGGTCTCCATGATGTCTATCTCGACCAGGTTTTGGTCGACATACACCATGAAAAACACGCTCCTACAGCTCCACAATTCAGTTGCTTTTCATAGCCTGCTAAGTAAGCTGGCCGATGCATACGGCTTTACAGCTTGCGGAGAGACTCGCGGAATGCACGGCGAGCCTTGCGGCCGCGCTGGCGGCGGCGGCGAGTGCGTGTGCAGACCTCTTCATAGTCACCACCCGAGCCGGAGCCCGAACCGGGGGCGGCGGCAGGGCTGGCGGCTTCGGTGGTAGCGACATCGCTCGGAGCAGCAAAGACAGGCTCGCTCTCGACAGGGGTGGGAGCGAGAGTGCTGGTGGCAGAGGGAACTGGCTCACTCTCGCCAGGAGCAGGATCAGTGGAACCGACGCCGTGACCACCAGTCCAAACGGCTGGGCCAGGCATAGGATAATCCTTCACACCTCCATAGATGGAAAAGTTGAACGAGGGGTCATCCTTCTTGTAGGCACCAGGGAACTTGACAGTGGGGCCCGGGGTGCCGTTGCCACCGCCAGTGACCTTGACTTGAACACAACTGTCACAACGTCAGTTTCCGCTAGTCCATCTAGAAGAACTGCAATAGCGTACGTGTAGTAGAACTCAGCCTGCCCAACGTGAGCACCGTGGACTCCTTTACAAGTCATTGTCAGCTGCTGTTGACCTGTCAAGATATGGGTTGATAGTGGGCATACCAATGTGTTCCGGCCGGATCAGGTACTCTCCGTCAGGAGTGTCCTTGGGAATGGTGAACTCGATCGTGTCCTTGTCCCATGTGCACCAAGCATCATTGGTGAAGTCGCCGCTGGCGTTGCAAACGCTCTCCTCGAAGATCTTGAACCATTCACCATTACCTTCGTAGGCCTTGGCCGTGGCAGGGGCCTTGGACATGTAGACGAGGGCAGGGCCGGGGTGCTGCATGGTGGCCCCAACAGCGAGTTTTACAGCAAGCTTGGAGCCAGCCTTTACCTCAGCAGTGCCAGTTTGGCCAGCAAAGGTGAACGCACCCTTGTTGCAACGGAAGTCGTTGACGTCGGGCGTCATGTCGTCACGGACATTCTCCCACTTGGTGGGGTTGTACTTGGCCGGACGAGTGTTGGACCGGACAAACTCATTGCTGCGAGTCTCGACACCATCGATGATGAGCTTGTCGAAGAAATAGTGAGCGGACGCGAGGGGCGTCAAGGCCGCGGCGGCAAGGATGGAGAACCTCATTGTTGCAGTAGATGCGAAGGGTAAATAGCCGTGGCAGACTTTTCGGTGATAGTTTTTGATTCTTGCTGAAGATGACTTCGAGTCGAACAAACGTAAAAGGCTAGCGTGTTATTGGAAAGGAAAGTAACGTAGTGTAAAAGAATGTGATAAAAAAAACGAAAGAGTGTAGCAAAGAACTGGTAATGCTCTGAGACCAAAGCAGAGACATGTTGGAGTTGGATCTAGAGCTCTTCTATATCTTTTCTCTTCGCCCCCTACCATTGGCGCCCGCTCTATAACCTGGGTTGACGAAGACATCGCTGCCCTTCATCTCGGCATCATTTTGGCGATGCATAACAAATCTGATCTCGATTCTAGCCACTCCAGGGGCCTGCTCCACGGTACAAGAGACACCTGTTTTCCGATTCGCGGAACTCGTAAGTCTAGGCCGGCACACGGGCTCATGTCCTGTCCCTCCTATTTCCGCGCCCCCCAGAAAGCATGTCACTAACCGCTTGCGAAGGTTGACTCGCCTCTTTGACTCAGCCCTATACCCAACTACTCAGGATCGTTTGGATCAGCCTCCCGCTCGTGCGTCACTCATGTGGAGGTGACCAAGCCAAAGGCGTTGTAAGAAACTCGCTTGCAGGGACCCTCCTGCTGTCTTGAAACATCTGAAACATCGAGGCGCGAATAGCAATTAAATTCCAGGTCAAGGGGGATGATATTTAGCTGGCCAAGTTGGCATCAAGGATTATCGTCCAGCAGTATCATGTAGATAAAGTCCTCTGGCAAAATAGGAAAGCACTCGGTTCTTCGCGTCGTTTATGATATCAGGCGAAAATCTGAGAAGAAGAGCAGTGGACCTCGAGCTCCAGACTCTCAGCGCAGACTACGCCGCGCTTGAGGCAAGATCTAATTTGAGGGCTTCGCCTGTTCAACGAAGGCTCGCTCAAGCAGCCATCTCAACTTTTGGAATCAACACAGCGGAGAGTTGACTGGAATAGTCGACAATTTACCAATTCCACATGTATCATATTACAGACCTGGGCAGAACACCTCGCTGCTAGTCAATGAGAAGCAATATCCGACGTGGGTGTGGGTCTTGAGCCCTGCGCCTGAGGTCAGTTCGAGAGTCAGCTTGTCAAAATTTGACCGTTGTGAGGTGGTCGAGGCTTACATGTGCATGACGGGAACAGGCCCATTGTAAGCAAGGTAGTCAAAGTAGCATGAGGGTTTCACGGCAATTCTCGACTGTATTATTGTACTTCAGTGTACGAGAGAAGTGGCCTTCCCCGCAGAAGAAAATACCCATCAAGAAAGACCGCCGGCTCATCCGTCAAAACTTTTGTTCGTCCAAAGCCAAACTGACGCCTACAACTGACACAACAGGCAGAAAGGATCCGTAAAAAGAAGTAATAATGGCGGTCAGCCTGTTTAGGGGATATTGTCGTCGCCGAACGCGCCATTAACATCAAAGCTCGAGTTGAAACCTTGACTTGCGGACTAGTTTTGTTAGTCAATCAATCTCACGCACCCAGGTCAAAGCACGGCAATGGGTGTGCGCAACGCGACACTGGTGTCTAAACTTACCAGATCGCCCCAGTCCCAATCGCTCATCTTGTCGAAACCCCCCAGATCGTCAAAATCAATGTCCTGCGCCATGTCAAACGCTATCTCGCCCGCTACAGGCGTCTCCTCACACCCAGCCAGCGTCTTCAGCCAGTCGTGACACTTGCTGATTTCTGTCTCGACTGCCTCGATCGTGAACGCGTCCGTCTCTCCGGATGAAAGGCCTCTTTCAAAGCAATCAATCTGAGCGGATAGCCACACGAACGCGAGATAACTCTTCATATTAGTGTCTCCTGCGCGCACGCGCTTGGCGCACCAAGGCTTCACGGCATCGATCGTCTCGCGCAGCTCGGCGGTGCCTCCGCCTACCGCGCCAGTGGCGTGGAAGCCGCTATTTTCTCGGAGGACCAGTAGGTACTCCATGCCGAGGATCATTCCCCCCTGCACCATTGTTGAGCGGTAGCTGCCCGCGCAGTTGACGAAGAGGCGCTGTACGTCCATGTCCGAGCGTCCGGTGGCTGGCGAGGATAGGCGTGCGAGAGACTTGGGCGAAACGAACATGCTGTTGGCGAGGAGGAGGCACGTGTCGACACATACCTTGCGAGAGAAGTAGTAGACGGGATTCCGCAGCGCCCGAGCGAGGGCTGGGCGGTGTAGGACGATGAAGAAGCGCCACGTAGTGTACTCGACGTAGCGCAGCTGGAAAGAGCTTAACTCGCCGCCCTCGTGAAGCTTCTTGAGCTGACGCATCATACCCTGGAGAGAGGCCGTCAAGTCGGCATTGACGCGCAGCGTTTCGTTGTACGAGGCGTTGGCGCGGATATCGTTAATGTGCTTGGCCACGACAAGACGGACCTGAAAGGTCTCGAGCATGGCCCGCGGCACCGACATGTGCGTATAGACCTCGGACGGCTTGGGTACCGGAAAGGCTGACTCGGCGTCCTCAATGAGCTGTTCATCGTCCACGTTGGCCGGTGGTTCCGTATCGTAATCCATGGGAGAAATGAGGGGCGGTCCGCCTGAGCTGATGCTGGACGCCAGGAGGATCTCCAGGATAGTGGCCCAGAGACGGCGGCGCATCTCGGCACGGAATGCCGACATCTTGGCGATGCACTTAGGGTCTTCATGCAGTCCCATGTACATTGCTGTGCGTAGCAGCGCGCCAGCGCTGATCCATGTGAGATCTGAGCCGACATTGGTGGTGTTCTTGGCAAGGTGTAGTAGGCAAAGTATTTGCAGACCGACGATGGACATCTTTGACTTCTCGCATGGCAGCATGAGCCAGACTTGAGCTTCATAGATCCATTGAGTGGCTATGGTTCGCAAGGAGAACGTGTCGTCCTGGAAAGCGGCACCTATGGCCATGCAGAGCTGTAGAAGTACCACGAAAGATTCGTTGGCGGCTGAAGGATCGACCCAGTATCGTTCATACTCGGCTTTGAAGGATGGTATGTGGACGACTCTGTACACTGATTCGAACGTTCGCAAGTATGCGTCGACAAGTTGGTCCGCCAGGTCTTTTTGGGGTATACTCTTCCCGATGACGATGCTCGTCAGAGCTGGTACACGCTGGCCTTTGATAAGCCTGCCGAGGCTCTTGCACCTCTCCATGTCTTGGTACATCTTTGATGTCTTATCGGCCTCGACACCATGAAGGAACTTGAAAATTCCTTCCACCTGCAGCTGGTCAGCTCCTTTTGAGGAGATGAAATACGAGGCCTTGACTTACCATCGTCACCCCGTTGGCCCAATGGCTGGGGCCAAATAAACGCGTTTTGTTGACAAGACCACGATGAGTGTGATCGTCTTCGCGTGGCTCGTCCCTGCACATGGCAGCGCAGTCTCGCGACGCATCGTTCTTCTGGAGTGCCACGTTGAGCTGCTGTTCCAGCTGTTTGACCCGGTCGAGGAGAGCAGTGACCGTGGGGGACGTGCTAGGGAGGCTCTCCGGGGTCAAGATCGGTTCATGGTCCGGCCTGTTTGAGGGGTAGGAGGTAAACCAGTCGGGATCTGTGTGAGGGGGGATAGAGCCTGAGGCTGAGACGTGGGAGGGCCGAACAACATCTGACACAACGTGGTCGGAAGCAGTGGAGGCGGGATTGGTTGTGGCCGGCGCGACTTGTCTCGGCACCACTGGTCGTTTTGCTGTCAGCGGCTGGGGTGCGTATGTGCAGACAGTCGACCGTGACCGAGTACAGGTCGCACATGGCATGGTTCTATCGCACCTGACCTTTCGCATACGGCATTGCTCGCAGGCCAGGGCCGGACGTCGGCGTTTTCTTTCGGCCTGGGAAGGACGGATGCCGCCCAGCTCGGTTGTGGGCATGGGCATGGTGAATTGAGTTGAGAGGCCGACGACCGGATTTTGGTGGAGAATCTGCGATGTGTTCCAGGCCTGAAGTACTCAGGCCTTCGTACGTAGCAGTGTAATGTCGTGAATTTGCTGGCTTAGATGTCTACGTGAGATATCACCAGAGAGTGGAGGCGAGGACCATGAATGAAATTCGACATCCGAAAGTAGGTAGGTAGGAAAACTGGGCATGCGACTAGGCACCCGCACCAGCAACGATCAACTAACCCTGAACCAGACGGCAATTGCGTTTGGAGACTTAACCAATCTGATAAGAAAGCTATGAAGACTTTTTGCGGGCGCCGTGGCCAGAGTGTCTGAGTCCATCGCAATTGTTGCGATGAGCGTGTCAGTGGTGGGGATGTAACGCCGCTGGTTGTAACAGCGCGCCTTAGACCGAGCATTTAGAGTCTCCGATTGGACGAAAAGGCCGAGAAGTTGATCTGAATTCACCGAGATCCGTCGTTATCCCCGACTGGCCGAACTGCCCGAGCTCTTGATCAGCAAGAGTATCCTCAATGGCTCCGTCAATATCCGATCCATGGGTCGTACGAGACAAGCTTGGTCTTTGAAAGATGGGATGGGCAAAGGCAATCTGGTAGTAGGATGGATTTCGAGCGTCAGTAAGGGCCTGGTGGCATGGTCTCCGTCGCCAGAGCTGCCTTCCCTACATAGAGCCACGCGATCGCCGGCATAGGACGCATCGCAGATGATGCCCCACGCCCGCCTTCTTGACGGCCCGAAGAGTGGCGTCGCGCTTTCAAACCTCGATACGGCACGGTCACGGGCTTGGCGGATACCTTCGGCACGCCGGCCGCCGGGGACATGTTCCCACCACGTTGAGCCGCTCGTTGGCAATTTAGCCAAGCTGAGCAAAGTCCGCCGGTGCACTAGAGTCATTCAAGACCGAGCCCCTACGTGTGACGTCTTTGCCTTCAAACCGAGCGGCGGCTTGAGGCAGCTAAAGATGGACCGCTCTATCACAGCTCCCAACCTTGGACGCGCGAGGCTGGCGACTGCGACTGGGCGATCCGACGTCACCGTATGGCAGTATCTCGGTTCGTGAAACCAGCGGAGGCCAATTGCCAGAGCCAAACAGCACTTGAGTGGTGCGCTGTCGATCTCGATCGCCAAGCCACTCGACGCCGACATGATGTCAAGGGGGTCAGGCCCCCTGCCAACAACCAGACCTTCGCCAACTCCAGACGTGTTCTCGCACACCCACGTCGTCTACGGTGTGGCGGCCCTTCAACAAGCCACATAGGTCCAGCCTTTCCGAACCCACGTTGCGACATGGTCATCCGTCGGCGGTGGCTTGGCCGTTGAATCGCGATGGCCGTGTTGTTTGTGATCCTCTTGGCAAGATGGCCAGCGTGAGCAAGCAAGCCAACATGCAAGCTGGGCAGTGTTGTAATAGCGGGGAAGCCAGACGGTCACTCAACGTCATATGATAACAGTCCTGGCGAAGGTATATGAGCCTGGGATTCTGCTCTACAGCACAAATTCCTTGCAAATCAATCTACAACTCTGAACACTCACAATACCATTCACAAAACCTCTCCTCAAACATCTATTTACAATGTCTGCCGCCGGTGCCAAGTCCGTCATCTCCAACGACATGCAGGAGTTGGGTCAGGGCAAGGAAGACATCTCCAATAAAATATCTGGCCACAAGGCCAACCTCTCCAACCCCAGTACGTGGACATAGGTCCTAGCTCAGCTTACGGGGAATCGCCCACTGACAAGGGTAGACACGAGCGAGGAGTCCAAGGAGAACAGCAGAAAGGCGATCGAGGAGCTCGGCGGACCTGACAACCACTACGGCAAGGAGGACGGCCCACGCAGTAAGAGCGCGGCCGATGCATTGGAGGGCAGCCGCGTCGTTTAAACACTTCTCTCGGAAGAGAATCCCGTTGTTGTTCAGATACTGGGTGTAATGATGCCATTTTATTTCCGATAGCCTGTTGTCGACAGTCTGACCTAATAGTGCACCTGCCTAATAATTGCGTGACATCACCTGGATGAACAAAGTTCAAGTTTGCCCGTTTGCCCTGATCACCCTGTCTACGAGGGTCATCCATTCCTGGCACGCCGTCAGTTCCTTCATCGACCCTTCGGCAAGGGTCACCAAGAGCTCAAGATACTCCGCGTCGTGCTTCGCTGGCAGAACGAGCGCCCCTTTACCACCGTCCGCGTTCCCAGCTACGATGCGCACCCGATCAGCTTCGGAAACACCTACCCCAGGAATCCCCCACCGGGCGTGCGCCCCTAAGTTCCGCCATGAGTCCATCTCGAGATCGCCAGCGTAGATGGGGGAGGTCGTGCGTCCCAAGACCCTCCCCTCTCTTACTGCCCTGTCCATCATGGCCGTTCTCACGGCAACAAAGGGCTCATCTACGTGTTTACAGGCCACCTGTATCGATTCCGTCACGGCAGGTACCCAAGCCGGCAGACCGCCGGGCGCGCTAGGGTGTCCGGAAAGCCCGAGAAGGACATCTCGCGGAACCCTTGTAATCACGTCTGCTGACGCATTGCCGAAGTATGGTGCCGCCTCTTCCTGGAAGGCATGTTGTCGCCATTGCCTGATCAGACCCAGCGTCGCGACCTCGGGCGTGGCCATGGTATATGCCACTTCGTGCTTGTACCGCGCACGAGTGATGTAGGCCCACGTCAGGGCCGACAAGACGACGAAGACCGAGGGGGGTGCATCCGCATGGCTCACGAGGCGGATCATCTCACCGATATTCTTCAGCACGTCGACCTTGATCACGAATATGGCGCTCGTGTGAGGCCGGGCGGCCGGGGTAGGGGGGTTGAGCCGAGGCAGAGCTGTGGCGACTCTGTCGAAGGGCGTGTTCTCTGGAAAGAGGCCGAGCTCGGGGCACGAGGTGGCCAGATCAGGCCAGGAAATGTCAGGCGCGATAGAAGCTGTCAATTTCGCTGGCTGGAAGGGCGTCATGGGCGGGGACAGTGAGTCGTGGACCCCGCAGGTTTCCGCAGCGATGCTGACCAGGACGGCACTTAGGCATGCGGCATCACCAATGGAGTGGTGGAGATGCATCCACAGAAGCAAACCGTCCTCCAAAAAGGTGACCTGCAGGCGAAAGGCCCTGGCACGAGGGAAGCTGCTGAGGTCGCCCAGCCCAAGAACGCGGTGCTTGTCCAAGAAAAACCCCGGTGGCCACTGTAGATCTCGCAGTTCTTGGTAGGCACGAGGGAAATCATCACCCAGAGAATCAACAGGACGCTCCTCTACGGTGACCACTGAGGACTCGGTTTCGAAACAATTCGGAGGGTTATACGTCAGATACAACATCCCGGACTGTCTATATAGATGAATCTCTGAGGCAATGATTGGTTGCTTTTTCTGTAATCGAGACACGGCGGCCTGGAGGTGTTGCATGACCCCGGAGCGAGGATGGACGCTGTCGTAAGGGAAACAAAGGCAAGCGCTAATGTATTCGCGAGGAGCATTCTGGTTCCAAGAAGCCAGCTTCTCGTACACGGGAACGGTGAAATCGACCATGGTGGAAAAGAGTCGACGTCGTTTGCGATATTGCTCGATTTACGCACGCCAACACTGGAAAAGCGACTCAACCTATATATACGTATGTGAAAGGGGTGAATAAGTTCCACGATTTGGGCATCTGATCTTGATCATGAACCTGTGCAAGAGCGTAGTTCGGTAGCAGACGCCCCGAGGCTTCCACAAGCCATAGCTGGGTATACCAATGCCATTGTGTCGGCAACAATCGAAGCAGCTTTCGATCTGAATTCGATATAAGAGGTGTGGGCAGGAATAGTTACGAAGTCGGGACGGGTCCGTTCAGAATTCAATACGTTGCGCCATGGGCAGCTCACAGAGATTGAATCGTGTGAATGTGGCGACAATCGATACCAAGCTCGTTGAATGGACACGGAGCCCTGTGTGGCCCAGAGACTGAACAGCCGTGCATGAATGGAAGACATGACTGTCGCGTGTTGCAGAATGACCGAGAATCACGAAGAAAGAATCCGAAGACTCACGAACGAGCGGCACTCACAATAAGCCGACATGGTGATCGTCAGGGTGGAAAGCGGTCAGCGCCGAGGGGTCCAATGTGGGGTAATTCTGCCAGTCGTCCCACCTGAAATGTCATGAACAACGCCCTTCGCGTCGCCCTTCGTGTCGCCCTTCCGTTCGCCGAAGTCAGTCTAGCACAAATTTCTGGTGTATAAAGCATTGGTTTGAAGCTCTCCTCAAGAGCTTGATCTTCCTATTCACACAAAAACCGTCTACCCTCATCAAGCCACCCCTCCACCACCATGTCGCCCTGCACCATCCGCCACGCTCGTCGTGAAGGTATGTGTGCCTTGACCTTGAATCAAGCTACTCTGTATCTCTACAGACCACGCACTGACCTGGACAGATGTCTCCACAATCCTGGAGCTCATCAAAGAGCTGGCCGACTACGAGAAGGAGCTCTCCGCGGTGCAGGCCACAGAAGAGACCCTCGCCAGCACAATTGCCTTTGCGCCCAGTGACTCCAAGCTGTCCGCTCCGGGAGGCGCCGACTTGACGACCCCCGCGCGACCGGCGCGCTGCCTGCTCGCCTTCGACGAGTCCAACACGCCCGTAGGCATGGCGCTATACTTCTACAGCTACAGCACCTGGCGTGCGCGCCACGGCATCTGGCTCGAGGACCTCTACGTCCGCCAGACGGAGCGCGGCAAGGGGTACGGCAAGAAGTTGCTCTCGGCGCTGGCGCAGGAGGTCGTGGAAACGGGCGGCGCCCGTCTCGAGTGGTGCGTGCTCAAATGGAACGAACCGAGCATCCAGTTCTACAGGAGCATCGGTGCGCAGTCGATGGATGAATGGGTCACCATGCGCGTGGACGGCGACACCCTGCCCCGCCTCGCCGGGCTGGGAGCGCAGTAGCAGGGAAAATAATGTCATTCGTAAATTGAGACGCCTTGGTATTGTGCCTCATGCTTTGGCCTTCTTCTTGACGTCTCGGTCAGGCTCTGTGACCTCTGTCGAGTTGATGTAGCGCTGAAGCTGAGCTGGTGTGGCGACAGGAGGTTGGCCGCGTGTGCCCCATTGGATCGACTTTTTCAACGTAGTCGGATGTTGTTCGGCGAATGAAGAAGATTCGTAAATCTGCCTGTATTGCCTCCGGAGCTGCCTACTGGACAGGGGTCGGATTCGGCTCTCCAGGTCTCCGCCGTACGGTCCTACTTCTGGCTCGTCGACCAACCTGACATTCGTGACGGCCCGTGGCCTCTCCACCAAGGATGCGGGCCTGTCAGCATAGGGCGTCCAGTTCCAACTCTTTTGTGCAGGCTTGAATTCCGGTGTCCTGGAGTGCGCCAAAGGGCGCCGCGGCAGGGGTTTGTACTGGTCGACAGGTAGGTTTCCAAGGGCGGCCTGGGCCAGAGTATCCCACTCCGCTTTCGCTAGAGGTGGCATGACTCTGTCAGCCGCGTGTTTCCACCACTTCTCTCTTCGGATGCGGAGTCTCCTCTCTGGCATGGGCCGGCCAAGGATGGTCTTGAGCGTGTCGAGGTCTCGCTCTGGGTTTAGATTGGTCAGGGGACTCTTCGGCCAGGTTGCAGGTGTGGTGTGATCTTGGTGGCGTTTTTGCGATCGAAGATAGACGAGAAGATTTTCGGTATCCCAGTGGTCAGGCGTTCGCGGCTTCAGGGGCGGCTCTTTCTCCCTGCTCGCGGACTTGTCGGTCGTGTTTTGGGCGAGGTCCAGCTTGCTGAGGCGTGCCTCGAGCGCGGCCGTGTCCGAGGGCGGATCTTGGTGGAGAAGGTCGGCCATCAGTTCGCGGCGCCGCTTGCCAAGGCGCCCGAAGGCCAGGCGGAGGATGCGCTGCATGCGAGCAACATCGCCGGCGTTGGCGGCACGAAGTCGTCGAAGGTGCCTCTCACCTTCCCATAAAGCGGCCTTGGTGCGGCGTCTGGCTTCGCAGGCGGCTGTTTCGAGGGTATCGTTTGGTTTGCCTGTCCATCTCAAGCTTTTCAAGTAGCTTTTCGAAGATCGGAAGCGGTCCCGGATACGGTGGTACACGTACGGTCTGCATAGTTCGGGAAGGTATGAGGTCTCGCGGAGGAGGTGTCGGTAGAGATGTAGAGGAGGCACCGGTCGAGAGAGGGGCAGTCGAGACATGTTGCCGGTGTAAAAGGAGCTCAAGGAGCCCAAATCATGTGGGTGTGGTCATCGAAGGTGTCACCAAGACACGTTCGTTCGCAAACCAGGCAAACCGATCGAGTGTTGAAATGGAGCTGGACAGCAGGCGTCTAGATCAAAATGCTGCCGCCCTGCATAAGTCCCCTGAAGGCGCACAAGCAGCTTGAGTGGGGCCTAAAGCAAGACATTTGTGCACATGCACGTGCCCACTGCAAGCACGTCTGGGACGCTGCACGGCAGCACGTCTACAGGTGAGGTACCTACCTAAGGTACCTTGTAAGGTACGATGTGTAGGTGCCTAGGCAGTACGATGTGTAGGCAGTAGGGTAGGTGCTCGCTCCCTGAAGGGTCACCAGGGCACGTCCCTGACGCGAAAGGACACGCCCTCAACACGCTCGAGACACGCAAACTCGCGAAACCGACACGTCTTGGGTTAATTGAAATTCCTCTTCTGGCCAAACTCACGCGTCCAGCTCCATAGACCCCATCTCCATCCATCCCCCCGTCTACCACATCTACGTCTCGTTTCTCGGCCAGACCCCGGCTCCAGAATCCAGAATTGACGACGGCCACGAAACAACCTTGCATCATTTCCTCCCCCTCAGCAACGCCGCCTTCACCGACAGCCTCAACTCACTCCGACGAACATCTCCACCCCTGCGCGGCACCCAGCATACTCACGTACACACACGCACAGTGGCTCCATGCGCTGATCTTCCGCCAAGGGACGATAATGTAGCTGACGCCAACCCGGGTACCTTTCCCCTTTCGCCTCGACTCGCATCCGAACTGCTGCCGCGCGACGCACCCGACGATTCCAAGAGGCTCCCGGCTTCTTCTGCTGCCTCTCTCCCTCCTGTCTTGCGAATTCATTCGGAGAGACGATTTCTCCCCATTCACGACTGTGTTCTCGACGACAATCCGATTGTCCGCCACCATCTACATCACCTGTCGCGATATCCCCAAAACCTCCGCTATCCCTATCCTGCAGCCTCCGACGGCGCTATCCGCTCCTTCTTCCTCCAACTCCCCACGCACGTCACACTCGAACCCCCTGGGCTGGGCTATCGCCCTTCGCGCCCCCCTCACAGCCAATCCCTCCAACGATTAGACGCCGCACCCCCTCGACCCCCCCCCCCCCAAACCTGAGCAACGTCGCGACCGGTCCGATCTTCGTAATTGCCATTTCCCACTGACACCGCAAGGTTGGCCTTGTCTTCGTTCACGATGCAGGCAGCATCTCAATCGAGACCCTCCTCACAGCAATCCTTCACCATGAGCCAACAATCCCAGCCGGGCCTGGCATCATCAGGGTACCGCCCTTACGACGGTGGCTCCAAGATGGCCGCGGCCGACCACCAGATCTACTCTGTATGTCTCCTCGCAAGAACGCTCCTTTTATGTCCCTTTCCTGGATCGCGGGCTCTTTTTTTTTTTCCCTTGATTGACTAACATATACGAAAGGCCGTCTACTCTGGCGTCGACGTGTACGAAATGGAGGTCCAAGGTGTTGCCGTGATGCGCCGGCGCAACGACAGCTGGCTCAATGCCACCCAGATTCTCAAGGTCGCCGGCGTCGAAAAGGGAAAGCGCACCAAGATTCTCGAGAAAGAGATCCAGACCGGCGAGCACGAAAAGGTCCAGGGCGGCTACGGCAAATACCAGGGTACATGGATCAAGTTTGAGCGAGCCGTCGAGGTCTGCCGCCAATATGGCGTCGAGGAGATTCTTCGCCCGCTGCTGACCTACGACATGGGCCAGGACGGCGGTATCGCGGGTCGCGGCGACATCAACACTCCGACAAAGGAGCAGGCCATGGCCGCCCAGCGCAAGCGCATGTACAACCTCGGCAACGAGGCCAGGGGCAACGGTCTCAGCGGCACCTTCTTCAAAAACATTTCCAGCACCGCATCGCATGCCGTGGCTGCTATCAGCAAAGCACGCTTCGAATCGCCGGGGCCCAGGAGTCGCAATGGCCCGACACGCGCTCCGAGTTTTAGTCGCCAGAGCTCAATGCAGAACGCAGACGATTTCCCCGGCAACTCGCAACAGAGCTTCGCCTCCGATTATGGTCAGCAGGCGAACTCGCAAATGTCGTCCCAACAGACACAGCCTTTTCCCGAACCGAGCGCAGAGCCGCCAAGGAAGCGACAGCGAGTCACAATGACCCCGGCCGACAGCTTTGGCTACACACATTCCAACATGGACATGCTCCAAGAGAACTTTCCCGGCTCACCAACAGAACCTAACGAGTCCTTCATCTACTCACAAGCCGTCAGTAATGCGCAACCACACGACGGCTATAGCCCCTTGTCACCCCTGCCTTTCGAGGTCTCCCCCGATGCGGAACAAAAACGAAGCATGCTCATGGGTCTCTTCATGGATGCGGCCGCATCGGACCAGAACAAGCATGAAATGCTACGATCCTTTACCCCGGCCGAGCTCGACATGCCCATCGACCAGCAGTGCCACACTGCTCTGCATTGGGCAGCTACGCTGTCTCGCATGCATCTCCTGAAGACGTTGTTGAGCTACGGCGCTAGCCCTTTCCGCGTGAATGCAGCAGGTGAGACGGCTCTCATGCGGGCCTGTGTCGTGACGAATTCGATGGACCTTGGATCCTTCCCCGACTTGCTCGAGGTTCTCGGTTCGACCATTGAGGTTCGGGACGCAAAGGGACGCACTGCGCTACACCACATCGCCATGACAAGCGCCGTGAAAGGGCGAAACGCAGCCAGCCGCTACTATCTCGAGAGCTTACTGGAATGGGTCGTACGCCAAGGCAGCCAAGGCAGGGCAACGCTTTCAGACGCCGCAGCCAAAGGCCGCGATGCCGAAGGTGGCACGTCGGGCTCGCAGTCTCAGCAGCAAAAGATGGGCATCGGCCGCTTCATGATGGAGGTTGTCAACGTGCAAGACAACTCGGGCGATACGGCTCTGAATATTGCGGCGCGTATCGGCAACCGAAGCATCATCTCTCAACTTCTGGAAGTTCACGCAGATCCGCACATCGCTAACAAGGCTGGTTTACGGCCTCTCGACTTTGGCATTGGTGGTGACGCCGCAGAAGACAATATCAACGGTACGAATGGCGACGCGAACACAGAAAAGAACGGCGCTGCGCCCAGCAGTCAGAAGTCCCGCGAGAGCAGTGATGAGATCATCTCCTGTGAGTGCCCTGCCCTGATGCAAGCCTGTGAGGGTCAAGACTAATTCATTCAAGCAATAACACATCTCCTTCATGAAACCTCGAGCACATTTCAAGCGGAGATCAAGTCCAAGCAGGCCAGTATCGACTCGCTCCATGCGGTCCTCCGCACCTCGACGACTCAGCTCGCCGACGCCCGCCGCACCCTCGAGACCCTCCAGCAGACGCATAAGAAGCAGCAGCTCGCTCGTCAAAAGGTTGCCAACCTGTCACACGCACGCGAGGATGAGCAGGTCCGTCTCATGCAAGAGCAAAAGCGCCAGGGCCGTCCCGACGCCCTCGCATCCGGAGCATGGGAGACCGAGCTGGCCGCCGTCCTTGAGGCCGCCAGCGAGAGCGGCGCTGATGGCGCTGCCGGCCTTCTGCCGCCCGGAGCGACGCTCAAGGCGCGATCCAAGGCCGTGGAGAACCGCAGGGACGGGCTGCGGAAGATGGCCCTTGCGTTAAAGGGGCGGAGTCGAGACGTCGAAGTCAAGTACCGCCGCGTCGTAGCCATGTGCACGGGCGTGCCCGAAGGCGAGGTGGACGCCATGGTCGACGGCCTGCTGAGGGCCGTCGAGAGCGAAAAGGGCGAGCTCGAAATTGGCCGGGTCAGGAGGTTCCTCGGCGGTGTCGAGAACGGTGTGTCCTAGAAGGGCCCCAAGACCGAGACGGCCGACATTGTGGAGTGGAAGGACCTGGTGAAGCAGCCACGGCCAATAGTGGCCTACAGCCGGGGACGAAAGACGACAGCGTGAACGTATATACGCCTTGCGTGAAAGGCGGCTCGGCGATGTATCTTGTTTGATTGTTTTTCTGGTGGCGTTTTGGATGGATCATTGGGCGGAAAGCACGTCCGAGACGGGTGGATGAGTCTTTTTTCTGTTTTTCTTTTTATGATACCTATCGGTAGATGCCTATACGGTGATCTTGGTGAATGCACTATTTCATTCTATGACGCAGTTTGCTACTGGGCCCGCCGCTGCTCGCCTTGAAACCTTTCAGTGCCACGTTCCTCCCTGCGCAAGCAGTGTGGTGTCGTTCCTTAAGGGGGGTTAATCAATCTGTCCATCAGGCGTCATGAAGCCATGGACCAGGACCTGGAGATGAGCTGCAAGGGGACAGAATCGTCAGAACTGTCCAGTTGGCCCTCGCTGAGTAATTTTACAGCTCTCCAGCTTCTTCCCTACTGTGAACAGAGTTGATATGGATATTTTTATTCAAGGCGCCAAAAGGTCTACTGTTGGTTTTCCGCATGGCCTCATATCTTCCCATCAAAGATGTGATGGGTGGTAAAGGATTCATTCAGTTGCCAACTGCCATCCCTGTCAAGGAGATAGGCCGCTGACGCCGATCCCAGCCAGGCACAAACTTTCCTCAGGACGGTCATAGCAGCACAAGAACCATCACGCCGCATTCTGTATAGCACGCCCGTGACCGACGCTACGTGGCCACGATGCAGAAACTTGGACGCTTCACATGCAAGATGTGAACGCGGCTGCAACTGAGCCCTAGCTTCAGAGACTGGCGCGCGTTGTTCAATACATCACTCTTCCAACCCTATCTTAACTCCTGCTTCAACCAACACAACTGCGAGTATTCAAAAAGAAGAAATGGAACCGGCTCCTCGACGCCTTGCAATGCTATAAACACGAATCATAAAACGTCACGCTCCCTCCCTTTGCGTCTCGAAGCTTCCGGCGCGTCACCCCTCAGGCAGCAATACCACCAGCGTAAAGCCCTTGCCACCTCTCCTCCACATCTCCAACCCGGCTCCTCACGTCCTCGATTTCCGAGTCCAACTCCTCGATATTGCGCGTCAGGGCGCTGACCTCCTCGAACCGCCTCGACCCCCTGGCATTGTCGATCATCTCCTTGACCATGAACCGCTGCTCCTCGAGCACGACCAGCCTCTCGCGCAGATCCTTCTCTTCCGTTTCGAGGGCCGAGACCTGCGTGCTCGCCTCGCTGCCGGCCTGACTGCCCGTCTCTGACGTGTCGACGGCCTCGCCGTTGCGCAGTGGCGAGGAAGAAGAGAGCTGGCTCAGCGACGACGATGATCCATTCAGATTCTGTTGCTGCAGTGTCAAGAGGCGAGACTGCGAGCTCTGGGAGGAGCGAGAGCGGAGGATCTGCGGGACTGATTTCAGCGTGAGCATGTGCGTGTGCAAAAAAGTCGACGCCGCGGCGTAGATCGCGTTTTGGAGCCGAAGCTGCATCTTGGAGGTAGTCTTGAGGTCGCGGAGGCGGCGTGCGGCCGTGTCGTATTTCGTAAAAGCGTCGGTGAGCCGTTTGCGGATCTTGGAGGCCTCCTGGATCTGCGCGTGTGTCGGGGGCGGGTGTTCGCCCGAGGCGTTGCTTCCTTCGGGTTGCAGTGCAAGAAGTGTCCGCTGGAAGATGGGCATGATCTGACGAATGCCGCGCTCGAACTGCCGAAGGGTCTCGTAAGCGCGTTGATCAGGCGGTTTGGACGCCAAGGCTGCGTCAAAGTCGCGTTTGGAGAAGATGGTGTGGTTGCAGTCGCGACACATGCGGACATCGATGCTGAGCTGATCGGTAGCGGCTGATAGCTTTTCTGTGGCAGATTTTAGATCTAGAATCAAGTCAGTTCATCTTGCTTCGTTCGGCAGCATGCATGACGAGACATACGACTAGCCACGTTCAATCCGACCAGCGTTGAGCAGCCTGTCTGGGGATCAGCGCAAACAACCCGGCCGCAGATCCGGCAGTGGTGCCTCCTGAACGTCCATGACCCAAAATCCTGTTGACAGAACGGACAGCTCGGCACCGACGCATCGTCCTCCCAGGTCACCACTGTTTGTTCAAGCAACTTTCTTGGGTTCCTCTGCCCTGTCAAGCTGGCTACCGATAACGCGCCGTTGTGTGTAGCCACTTCTTCTGGCGGATTCGCGAGCAACATCGTCAGCTTTGTCAGCCGTTTTTCCAGCCTGGCGACCTCCAAGTTCTGCCTCTCGACTCTCTTCCGCCGGAGTTCGGTGAATGCGCTTGTGTGGTCGATGAGAACGCCGTTGTGGTCGTTGTATCCCTCGCGCGACTTGTAGCAAGTCTCACAAACTCTTGCCCAGTATCCTCGCACCGGCTCGTGCTTTGCAGCTCTCGAGAGCTTCATCTGGTACATTGTGTGTTCTTCGCAAAACAAGCGTCCGCAGTGTCGGCAGTTGATGCTCCCGTTGACAGCTCCGAGGTTCTTGCCACAAAGCGGGTCGGTGCAACGGTCATTCATAGTCTGGCGCTGCCAATGCGATCTTGTAATGAGCTCATCGGGATCGATCGGCTGCTCAACCTGTGTTCGGGGGCCGGAGACGGGAGCAACAGGCAGGGTTTCGTTGGATTCGAAGACCTCGAGGCCGCGCAACTTTTGGTTGATGATGGATAAAGGCTGAAATCGCTTCGCCTTGGTGACCTGCTTGTCGAACCATGTTCTCACTTCATCCTGCTCGACCTCGGCCAGCTCCTGGTGTGCATCGTCGATGTGTCGATTCAGCTGCAACAAAGTCATCTGGCATCCGGTCAGCGCGTCCACGTCGGAGGTTTCACGTTGCCGAGGCGTACCATCTCTTCCTCACATATTGGGCAGACCAGCTTGGAGCTGTTGCCCCCCGATTTTGAAGGCCCGCCAAGGCTGATGTTGGACGTCAGGTCTTGTGCGGCAAAGTCGGGAGCGGGGCTGGAAACGGGCGGCGAGGTGGACGCCGATGTGATGGAAACGGTGCTCTCTGAAGGCGCGAAGGGGCTCGAGGCACGCTGGCGGACGGCGGAGGCTGTGGGCGGCGCCAGGCCTTTGCCGCTGCCCAGGACGCGGCCACCTCCCAGCTTTCGGCCGGACATGGCGAAGACTGGGGAGAGGCTGGCCGTGATATCGTGCTAGGAGATCATGAGGCACTGCTGATTGTGTCTGACGGCGGCTTCGGAAGAGTGCCTGGTTATCGTTGCCTCCGCTCAATCAGTCGGTAGCAACGGGAGGCTAAGGGGCTTTTTATGTGGATGTATGTCGCAGTTGCGAAGCTGGCCTGTCGGTGACAAACAAGGACGACCAGGCGGGGCTGTCGATGGAGAGCACTCGTGGTCTCTCGGGGTCTTGGCTACGATGGCCTCTCCACCATCCTGGCTGCCTACCGCCGAGCTGTGGGTTCTGGGTTGGAGGAAGAGTGTGGGTCTGAGGGGTAAAATCGTTTTGGTGCATATTGGCCTCGACAATCCTCCTCCCACGTGCTGAACCCCTCCAACCAGTTGTTCACTGCATTTCCCGCGCTCACCTAGGTACGTTGTGGAACAACGTTCGAGAAATCACATGGCCTTGTCCCTGATGAGACTGGCTTCGTTGTTGGGTTGGGTGCATACAATTGACAAATGCCATGCTGTGACTGCTCCACCATGCTGCCCAAGCGTTCCTTCATTTCTTTGCAGTGTCTGCTAGCATGCCTCGCGTTTGTTAGTATGCGCCAAGAACAGACGGTATTCCAATGGTGATAGTCTTCGATGTTGGATTGCAAAACCATTCTCCCCTCTATCTTCTTCAAAGTTGTACGTGTAAAACGCCTTTCCCAGCTCCTGACTCCTGCACAGCTATACTGGCACCGCAGCACATCCGGAAGCAATTATCACCTGCATCCCATCATGCTCCGACGCAAAAGCCAAAAGATCCGTCGAATATGTCGATTTTGGATGGCTCAGGATGGCGCCGCATGGCCTGGAGATCATCCACTGTAGGGACCTTGTTGTCCGCGTAGTAGGTAAGTAGGTTCTCCATGTCCTCATCCGTGAAATCGCAGATGTCTTCCCAGCCATAGGCATTGCTAACTTTGATCATCCTGGCAGCTGTTAGATAGACCATCATAGTGGGCAGGGCACCACATACCATCCCATCCTCTTCGGGCTTGCCTCTGGGTTCGGGGCAATCTTTCTCAGCTTCTGACGCAGCTGCCCGATCGCCTCAATGGCATTGCCTGCATTCTTGGGCAGGGATTTCGCAATCTGCTTCCGAATAATGGCGGCCAACCTAGGGCCCTTGCCGTTCGTGCTGACCATGATCTGGAGAGGCCCATCGCGGTGGACGCTGCCGAAGTAAAAGTCGCATTCAGGCGGGACATCTGCAATATTGGCGGGAATCTTGCGCTCCTTGCAGAGCTTCCAGATCACAGTCGATGCTGCAGGGTCGTCGATGGCCGTCATGACCATATCGGCTCCATCGAGGTCGCTGGATTCGAACACGCGATCGATGTGGGTGACTTGGCCTTGCTCGACACGGTAGGCTACTTCGGGGTTGAGGCCCGAGGCAGGGCATACCAATGTGACTTTGGCATCGGCGTTCAGGACGTTGAGGATGCGTCCTGCGGCGACCTAACGAGAACCACCATGTTAGCAGGGTGATAAGCCCATACGCTGGTTAGAGGGGGGGTGGGCGCACCTCGCCGCCGCCGACAACGAGGACATTCTTGTTCTTGACCTGCCAGGCAAGAATCAGACTACCGCCGCCCTGTACTTCGGGGAACTTTGTCGATGCGGCCATCGTATGCTGTTACGTGGGCGATCGCAAGAGCGGCCCAAATTTTGGACCGCCGAACGAGGCCGCTTTCGGGGCGGCATTCAAAGCACCCCGATAGAGGGCTGCGTCATGGCGCATAGAATTGATATGTCATCTGTCACGTGCAGTATGACCCACCTAACCTTATGTAAGGTAGTTCGCGCAGAGAAGCGACCTCACCTCTTACGATTTTACTTACCCCTTCGAAGGTATCTCAGGAATGTTACCGAATGCCTTGGAGGATGCTTTTGTCGCGAGCACTTCTCTAGTATATACCTCAATTCTGAGACTCAAGTCTCGGAAGGTAACCTCGCGACCGCGGTCTATGACCTACCTATGTTGAGATGGTTTACCTCGAAGACATCCATGGTGATGAACCTCCCCCGAGTCTGGTGTGCTGAAGCTGCGTACATTGTGTCGCTGTCACCCCTTCTGACATTATGGAGCCGGGTACCGCTACGGGACTTGATTGCAGTAACCGCTTTCCCATCCTGGACACGTCGCGGCTCGGTTTTATTGTACACAGCACTTGTCCCAGCACTTCTTTGCTCAACTCATGTATCCGCTCACCCCAGTGCGTGATCAAATAGTATGTGGCCTTCAATATCACTGTCCTGCAAGGCCATGACCTTCGCTGCATCCTCATCTCGTCACCGTCACACTCGGCAGTTCCTTGACACCGGTGAATCCCTTGGTTGTGACGATCAACCACCTGCGCGGGATATAACCAGGGTTCACGGCGTCAGAAATAACATAATGTCGGGCTAATTTTGCCGATCTCGTCGGACCGAAGGTACCTACGCCGAGTTCCCACGGTAGCCTGCCTCTGTTGTACACTTAACAATGGCCTTATGGCGTTAGCGCGGCGAATGTCAGCTCATTTGCGTGGAACAGAGTTCGATTGCCGTAAACTCAATGCATCAACTGCTGTCGATCGTTTAAGCGACGTGAATTGCACGCCTCGTCATACAACACCTTCGACCCCACTGACTCATGTCGCAGGCTCCAAATCATACTTCGGCCGATGCCAGCCCGGACAACCGCTGTAATGAGTCTGGAGAGATTGCTGGGAGACACCGCGCTCTTCGAACCGGTTCCTGTTGCCAGACTTCCATGCCTCCGACTGGACCTTTGCTGTCGGCTTCTTGTGCTTGTACGGATGGATCTGCATTGCCATGCTGTTGACGGGTGCGGGAAGCCGACACTCCGGAGACCACAGGAAATTGAGACCATTTTCGCTCTGCTCCACTCTCCATCCTATGGCCTTGAAAGCCTGTACCAACTGCGACATGCTGTAGTTCTCATAGCCACCGAAAATGTTATCAAATATCCGCCAGGTGTCGGGCGCCAGGGGCGGGAGCGGTTCGGCTGGCACAGGTGGGGGTTCAGCTACGACAGGTGCAGCAGCTTCCTGAGGCAGCCTAGGGCGTGGGTTCGTATTCTGCCCTGGTACCCAGCCTGGTGGGTGATGAGCTGGGGATGTTGTCGTTCTAAGCTCAACGCGTGGGGGCGGTGTCTGCGGCTCCGGTGGTGTTGACTTGTGTGAGCTTGGTGAGCTCGAAAGGGTCTCAAGCTGGTCCGTCCGGTCCTGAATAATGATTCCCCAATGCTCCATCAAGCCCGGTCCTACTAGACTTTCCTGTCTGTTCTTAGGGTCAAGCTTAGTATGCGGAGCATCATCAAGAGAGACAGCGTCTTCTCGTTTGGTATCATAGCCGGCAATTCGAGCTACAAATGCATACCAGATGCCCCGAATGGTTCTGGACGCATCTCGTTCACTTGGTGATTTTCCATGCAGTAAAGGACTGAGAGACTTCAATGCTTGATGCCTGGTATAGTGTGATGCCCTTGGGAAGACTTCGCCTAGTACAGTCGATAGGCTTTTCAGCAACGCTGATCGGGGTGGCTCAGAGCTCTGGCCAGGCCCGCTGTCCAAGTAAGGTCGAAGATCCCGCTCGCCGTCGCGGTGTAAGTCGAGCTGTTTCACCATCTGGACGCAAATATTGAGGTTTTCAATGGTCTTGAAGACGTAATCAGATATGAACTCATGTTGCCTCAGCCGGGGAAGCAGAGGCGTCAGCGTATCGAGAAGATTGCCCAGTCCAACAAATGACGCTGCTTCCTTTTGTGTCACGAAACGATGCATGAGGTGACCAGTAAGGTTGAACAGCTGTTTGAGCTCCTCATCTGCGTTGGCACTATCGTCGTTGAGCACGAACCACTTTTGCTGATCTTGCGTTTCCATGCCGACGGGTAGAAGGTACTGGGGCAGTCCGTTGGCGATGCTTCTGAATTTCGTGCTCCTGCGGAAACACTGCCTCCATCTGGGATGAGCATGCCAAATACCGCGACGAGAAAGATCATGCCAGTAGTGACTCGCAAACTCGCGGGCGTGGACCTGAAGGAAGAGCCAGTCCGAAGCCGACAAAGAGGCTGGACTCTCCGTAAAGCGATTGTATTGCTCGTGAACGAAATGGAAGAGCTCTACATCGAGAATCCTTCTTCGAAAAACGCGCTCGATGATGTCTAAAGTCACTTCCGTCACGACAGCTTGCGGCATGTTTGAGGCTTTGTCAAGGTTCTCTAGAACTTGATCTTTCTTGTCGCGGATCCACCCATGATGATGCTCAAGCTCGATCTTGAACATAGTTTTGAATGTTGAGCTGTCTTTCATCAGTTCCTGGAACATGGTGATGCTTTCTAGGCGCTGCGCCTCAAGGCTCGGTATGACCAACGGCTTGGCCCCTGTTGAATCACTTCCGCGGTGGGGTTTGGTATAAGGCTGGTATCTAGCCTGCTCAGAAGAGATGCCGCGAGGATCGCCCAGATGCAGGCCAAGGTCGGCCCAAGGCTTGTCCGTCCCAGTACATCGTTCTCTCATCTGAAGTTCTCGGTACTGTGCCAAATCTTCAGTGATCCAGGATAGTTGGCCTGGCGATTGCTCCGCATGGTTACTCCATTTCATTATGGCATCGAAGCAAACAACATTGAGGAAGTGAAGCATGTAGTTTTGTGCTGACAGGACCGCGAAGCCATCGAGAAAGGAGTAGGTGCGCCCGGCTTTGTCACTCTCGATCTTCGACGCGGCTTCTCTTGACCGAGCATTGCAAAGCTTTTTGTTGAGACGCCTTTCAACCTCACCCGCAGTCTCTAGGAACTCTTGACGTTTTGTGTCGTTTCCACCAGTGACAGGAGTCATTTTCAGCCTTGTGTACTTTGCTCCAATGGGTGCCCACTCCGCATGACCATTAGATCTCCAGTATTGCGCAGAGAAATCGAATAGCCTTCCATAGGTTTGAGTGTGTTCTTTAAGCTGCGTAGCCTCTAATTTCCAATCTTCTTTCCCGGCGCCAGAGGCATTGGTGGTCAAGTCAGGCTCATCGAGACTCATTTCTGTCCCTAGAAAGCATGCAAAAGGCGAAAACCATCGATTGGCGAGACCGACGTACATTTGTCGAAAGTCTGCCCTCGCAAAGGCTGCCGGGTGGTCTTCAGCACGAGACACAAGGAAAGCTGCCAGCATGCCCGGATCGTTCAGGTTCTTCTGGCAGAGCAAGGGGGCCAGTAAGTCAAAGAACAATTCGTAGACCAGGCGCATGCTGTTCAGGTAGCGCAGGGACTCAATGGTATTGGTTTCCCGCATCTTGAACCGCATGCCTCTGATAGCGGCACATAGTTCTATCCCTGCCTCAGTGTACGGGTACCCCCCAACAGTTGCAACACCCTTGGCCTCGGCAACCATGTTTGCCACATCCTGCCTGGCGAGGCGAGCAATGGGGAGTGGCGTTGTGCTCCCCGGATCGCACTTCAGAAAGTACTGCTGTGTTTTCTTCCAGCACTTGTCAAAGAACAGGTGCCGGGCATCCAGGGGGCTATGTTCGAACAAGTGCGCCAAAGCGTTGGTGAGAACCGCATTATGTTCCTTGTCATGTATTCTGCCCCGGAGGATCTTCCACTCGCGAAAGATTTCCTCGCTGACACACTTGGCTTCGTCACAAATATTGCCTAAGGAGTGTGTGCCATTAAGAGGTCGGTGATTGAGAGGTGATGGAAACATCGTGCCAGGGCCATATCCCATCCCTGTCAAGTAATATTTGTGAATAACCTCAAGTTCGTCCGGATGCTTCAGGTTTTCGTCGAGGGGGACAGAAACATGACTGTCACGTTTTAGCAACTCATTCAGCTCTTGCGACCCCCATACGGCGTCGTCTATCTTTTCACGCGGCTGACGAGAACGTTCTCCAAGCCAGACTGGCTCAGTTGTTGCCCCCCAAACCGGAGAACCGATCTCGGAATGGTCTGACTTCTCGGACATTGTGAAGAATTCAGCCGCGCGTAATTCTTGCTACTATAATCAACCAGAGTGGAGGAATTTGGACTGCTTTTCGGATAGCCTCGGTGAAGCTGTCACGGAGTTCGGACGAGGAAGGAGTGGTTGATTGAAGAGATAGCTTGTTGACAGAATCGTGCGCCTGCGGAACGATGTTCAGTCCAATAGTTCATAGTGGTGACAAGAGGCTGAGTACTGACCGGAGATGCTTGAAGACAAACTTGTACTTGCAACTGGAGCTGGTAGGAGTGACTGCAAGATCGAAACCTTTTCGCCGTCGTTGTCACCGTTGTTGTTGTTAACAAGGAGGGTACAGTACGACCGTGGCTAATAATTCTGCAGCCTCCCATCAACCAACAATTTCGGCTGCTGTGACAAGAATTCAAGGACTTTGGACAGGACATTTGCATAAATGAAAGGGCGAGAGGAACGGTCACCGCCATCTAGATTATGATTGAACCTTGATCATCAGCCACCTGAGGCAGTTCGCTGTCTACGATAAAGAATTCGAGCACAAAAACAAAGCAGGGAATTCCAGGCTATGCATTCAAGTCCACATCGAGATCGAGCTATGCATGGGATCTTGAACAACAAACAATCTCAGGTGGTCAAAGGCCTAGTCTCAGACTTGACACCTGAATGCTATGAAAGCGAAGAAAGCGTACACATGTTGGTGGCTTGGAGCTAAGTCTTTGTCGCTTGGGTGAACCTCCAGGTAGACCTTGGCACTTTCAGGTAGGCCTCGATCACATTTGATTGCAGCACCCATTTTCGTGTGTCCGCAGACGCCCACTTTGTGCCACTTTGTGGTAAATGGAGCCGCTGCCTTACCATAGTCCCGTCGCTGGGGCAGAGCATCCAGTACTATTCATCATGTGGAGGGTTTTGGCACTCCGCCCAGCGCGGCTTTTCTCGTCCGACACCTGGAACGAGTCGATTGAAGACTTGATGCCGCTCACATAAGACGTCACGTCACCATGTTTGACACAAATCAGGGGGGGGGGTATCTTGAAGCCTTAGCTCATGTCCATCCGCATTATTCTTCCTACATAAACATCCTCCTAGATTCCTCGTGACGCCTTGACAATCCCAACAGTCGACGTACTGGACGAGGTTTCCAAGTCTCGGGTATCGTGATCCGATCTGTGGCCTGTCGTGACAGTGACCGTCACGCCTTCCCGAAGAGAGCCGTCGGACGAACGGCGCCCATCGTGTGGGCCCACTTCATGAGAAGTCACTTCCACCTTATGTTGTTGGTAGATCTTGAGGGGGATGCCGCCGAATCCGCCGTTGATCTGTTCCTCGCTCGCAGATGGGTCGAGGTCGTGATCGCCGCCGCGTATCGTGGATTGAGGGTTGCGGCTGTAGGCCATCGAGCGGAAGTGCGATGTTGAAGAAGGATAGCCAGAGCGTTGGTTCGACGACTTGCCGTTGAAGGACTTGAGGTGGAAGAGACGTCGGAGAATTGTCCAGGTCATGGGCAAGTTGGCGACGATGAGGGCGGTGGAGGACTCGCGAATGTACCAGAACGTCCAGGCCGAGCCGAAGGGTTCGTTGAAACTGTAATATTTGTTGAGAATGGCCGAGAGAATCTGTTACGGAGGGTTTGATCAGTCAACTGATAACGGAGAAAGTGCGAGACTGAGGATTTCACTCACAGTGAAGGCACCTAGGGCGAAGACGCCGCACAGGATCATCTTCTTCTTCTGGGGAATCTGGGACTGGAGGAACAACGGCATCGGGATCAGAATGATCATGACATCCGACGAAATGTTGATGACGGCGTTGGTGATAAGGTGATTCGTGGCAGCCGAGCATTGAACTGAAAGCTCATGTTAGGATGATCATCGAACGCGATGGCGAAGGGTGGAATAGACTGACTGTTGTCCGGGGGGACAGCCCAGTACTGGGTGAATGGTCTGCACCAGACACCAAAATAGAGGATTTCCATGACGATGAAGCCAACGGCGACATAGCCGGCAACAATTTTGACTGCCAGGTTCTGTTTAAGACTCATGCTGTAGGCAACACGAGTAAGTATCGGACCAAGGCGAATTCTGGAGCAAAGGGGACACGAACGTCAAGCGGTTGTACATGATGAGGAAGCAGCCCTTTACCGACCAGATGACGGCGCACTGCATCTGTTCAACGACGAGGACCCATTTCGAGCCAGACTCGCGCTCGGCGATGTCTTCGGCAGTGAAATTGAGGTCAGTACCAGGTGCGATCAGGTTACTGTTGGTGCGTGCGATAATGTTCATGCCCACGATCAATACAGTGTCGCAGAGCTTCAATTGAGGTCAGTCCTGGACCATCTCATGGATGATGTGGAGAGGCGGGATTTTCCGGGGGTCGAGGCACTCACCATGGCAAACATCATGAGGGCATCGTCGGCCTGCAGCTTCTTGAATGAACCCTGCAGCAACCTGCGTGAAAGCCTGGACCACGCATGTTAGATTCCGATGAAGTAACAGAAAGCTATCGTCAGATGTCACACGAAGTGGGTGCAATTGCAGAGGGTATGGGGGGATCTAGAGTCAGGAATCTGGGGGAGGGGAATATTGAACCCACATTCTGGCTATCACCACGAGCCACGTCAAGCCATACCACGTCCATGTTTCCACAGCGAGGTGCGACATGGCGGGAAGAAAGACAGCCTGCCAGCGGGCAGCTTTGCTCAATCGACACCTTTTCTTAACCGTTCAATCGTCAGGTCCAGCAAGGATCGGGACCCAGACGGAAAGACGACAATCGCACACACTCTTTGGCGGAGGAGGCAAGAAAAGCTGGTTGTGTAGATCTTGGACGAGACGAGAAACTCGAAGCAACGGCGCGTCAGCATCTGACCGCGAGCGACACTGGTGCCCCCTCCATCTTTATGAAATGGACTACCCGTTAGGCCATGAGCACGTCCGGACTGACGGGTGGGTTGGTGGTGGGTGGGAATAGGGGAGTGGGGTGGACTGGTCGTAGACTGAGCGGGGATTAAGACTGAACCTGGCTTAGCCAACCCAAGGTCTTTCACGGCCCTTTGGAGAGGCTCCGACGACCCTTCCATCTCTGCCAATACCCGTGAAGGCGGCCCTCAGCGGTAGCCTCGATCCGGCGACCAGGGCCCGGTGGCTTTCTTTCGACGTTCCATCGAAGGGACGCCTGTGCAAAGACTGTGACATGGCCCGGGTCGCATATGCATGGTGAGAAGGAATTGCCACGTGTGGGCGTGCTGTGCGCCCATGTTCTGCTGAGCTCCTGTTTGGAGAGAGACGATCCTCGCCCATGCTCGTCGTCGGCAAACACGACATGCCGAGACATACTGACCAGTGATAGGCGTCCTCTGGAAGAGTAGCATTTGTTCGAGAATAAGGACCCCCTGCTTTAGTTGTGACGCTATGGGACGCCACTGGACAGCAACCAGGGAGCGGCCAGAGACGGCGCATGTGACGGCACGCCGCGCCGAGGTCGTGGCATGATCGGCGGCCGTTAGGAGGACTTTTGGCAGTTCTCGGGTGCTTTGCAACGCTTATCATCATTAATCAAAGAATCGATTGGAACCTTCTCACAGAAAATGCAACGAAGAATATAAGATGCGCAAGCAAGAGGAACAAACAACACCAAGTGGTCGTGAGAACCCATTGCCAGGCACCCTCCCTGAAGCATCATGGATGCGACCCCTCTGCAAGCTGGGCCCAGATCTAGCCGGCTCCAGCAGCACTACCTTTGAGTTTCGGCGCTGTAGTCAAGCTGGGGAAGGGCTGCTCGATCGATTGATTGATAAAGGGGCGAGGAGGGAGGAGCGGGCCAAGGCTGGTTGCTGCGGGACCCTGAATCGCGTCTAACGGGCATGAGTCGAGCATGAGGCGGATCACAGCCTGATCCTGACTAGGCCAAAGCCAAATGCACGCTCGGCCCCAGAAACGACGCCAGAGTGTACCCATTGCAAAGGGCGCCTCCCCTTGACAAGTCGTCTGGCATGACGCCACCCCCCCTGAGCAGCGAGAAATAGGCCCAGGCCGGTAGAACCAGCTGACGCATTACACGAAGCCGTGTCTTCGTGATTGCCGCCTCAGCACTCGTTGATGGCTGCCAAAGTTGTATCGCGGGATGAACATCCAATAGCGGCGGGTTCGATAATTCCCAAAAGAGAGTCTGCAGGTTGCAGTTCGCAGGATGCACCCTAAGTAGCAGGAGACTCGCTGCAGGCCTACCCTGAAACCCAATTGAGACGGCGTTGAGTCCCCATGCCCAGACTCTCAAGGCTGAAGGTGTTCGTGTCGGAGGTGACACGGCACGCTGGAAGGTCGAGGCTTTGTTCGTGACAAAGCAAGGGGACGAGACTCGACCTTCCCATGCCCCGACAGCTGCGGAACCAGCTTGAAGAGGTCTCGTGATGGCAGGCCGATGCAGACCATGTAAGTCTCCATGACATGCAGTGATTTACAGTGCCCCTGCTCGGTGGCGCTCAATAGCCCCTACACCGGGCAGGCAACGAGAGGAATCGATCCCAAGACTCTGGCTCGAGTCTCGGATGCCAGCCTCCAATCTCACCTCCGACATATCTACTAATCTCCGCTGCAAGCTCATCCTGGCACCCAAGACATGAGCCCTCAGGGACGAAGCAGTTGAAGGCCACCATTGGTTTGAGGGTCAAGAGGTGTAGCAAGCCGGCGATAACCAGGGTCACCTTTTCCACGTGGCGAGTCTTCATGTCAGTTGGGGGCCTGGAGCTCAAGTTTGAGTCAACACACCACCTTCACTTGATCCCAGCCAGCGAACGCCTGGCCATTGGCTAGAGTTAGCGAGCCGCGATTTGAGGTCGCGGAACATCAGCTGGAGTGTAGATGGTGTCGCAGACAGAATGCCTCGAACGATTCATGCCTATCGCGTGCTTTACTCGTGGCTTGGTCTCAGTATCCCCAATACTTCGCCTCCACTGTCAGGAATACCCTCGGTCTGCCCCCCTTGACCTTCTTCAGCTTATCGCCGCGATTACCACCACAACCATCTTCCGAGCTTCACCTTCTCCGTATGGAGCGCTTTATCTGGGGACAGATTGGACGGCGTCTCTCTTGTTTGCTTCGAATTGTGACTGGCGGGTGTGTCCCGCGATAGGAACTCCAGCTGATCCAACGACTGCACTTGAGGTGATTACGAAGACAATATCAGAAAACGCCCCCTGAGGAATGATCCAGTCATTCGAGCCTCCTTTCTAAGACGACACCTGGTCCGGTGAAAACGTCATCCATTGATCGCCTTCGGTAGTAGATATGGAAGAGAGCCAATCGCTACTCGACGACACCTGTCTCTTTGTTCTCGATCCAGGAGCCTTGTCAAAGAAACGAGAACCCCACCCCCAAGAACTGACCACTGTCAGCCTACTTTGCTCTACCTGAGGCGCATAAGTAGTGACCCATGACCGTGAAGCATCAGATGCCACGTTTTTTTCATGCAGCATCGCAGACGACCGTTTCCTCATCAGACGGTCTTGTCTTGGACCGCCTATCGGCAATGCAACGTGTGCCAGCGGGAAGGCCCTAGTCACGTATCTCTTCTTGCATCTCCGGATGAAGTTTGAATCGGATGCTCAGCATGTTTTCAGATTCCATCACAGCGTCGAGGCAATAGTATAGTGAGGTAAAAGATGACACTGCCCGCCGCGCTCACGAGGCAGTACGAGTGCTTCTCGAGTCCACCACTTATATGACTAGCGATGTTTTTAATGCCTAGAAGGACTCCATCGCAAAGTCAATCAAAAACAAAGATCCGGTCCGACAACGGACACTCTTCGTGGCCTGGTCCTCGCTTACAACCTGGTCGAAAGACGTCATGTAATCCCTCCTTGTATTTCTCGCATTCAGTGACCATGTTGCGTGGAGCACACACGAGACTTGGTGTGCTTCTCCAGTGATTGCAGCGATCACGCCCAGGAATGATGGCCTCCCCGTGCCATTCTCCGTAGTCGCCAGCCTTGTGCCGGTACGACGCGACGAACAGAGTTCCGTGGTGCACAAGCTCAGCCTACCTTATTGTATTCTGAACTCCACCACGCAAGCGATGGCAATCTGATCCACCTTTGGCCATGCTTCAACGATGCAACCCGTTGACGAGCATGCCGCAAGTGGAAAAGCCCAGTCTTTCATCTCAAAGGTCTGTTCCCACATCACGAAGTTTATTGCCGGGATGCCAGGATTTCGGGACCATGAAGTCACATCCAGATGCTTTCTTTGTGGTGATAAGCCTCCGCAGTGACTTGTTTCCCTCCTGAGTTTTTCTAATTCCGGACCGTCAAAGAAAGTTTTAGCCGGATCTACCTCGCTTCCTGTGCAGCTCGGGTTCTGATGCTGCACGTATCGTACGTATTGCAAATAAAGCGAGCCATTAAGGTGCTTGTAAAGATCCATGTTCCCGGCACCAGCCAGTACATGTGTCGCTCGACGGGTCCATATACGAAGCTTCCTTACGAGTCTGACGTGAGCATTGGCTGAGCAGCTGTGTTCGTATCGAACATGGCACCTTGGAGTTTTCACACACAGAAGGATGTTACGGTAGAGAGCCCACACGCGATGACTTGCAATATACGCGCCCTCGAGCTGGCATTAGCTCCCGTGTCTTCACCTAGCTTCATCTAAACCAACTGAATGCCGAGCGCTCAAAGTCTGGCAGATCAGAATGATGTACTGGACCTATGACAACTCATCACGCCTTTCAGGACCAGCCCACATGCTCATCCAAAATGAGCGCCACATGGGTTTCTGATTATTAACGTGACCGAGAAATCGCATCACGGTCGTCATTTTAGGGGAAGCAGAGCGGCTTGGCCGTGCTCCCTCGGGTTTGTCTTTATTGAAAGGTACATCGAATAGCGCCTTCTCCTCTGAATTTCTGGGAGAATAGCGCTTGGCGCCACGCGTGTCCAGACATTGGAATATTGGGATCATCGTTGCGGGAAGCCTCAGCATAGTCAACGATCTTCTCCACGAATGGTGTGAGCCTCGTGGCGATGGGGTGTCTTCATGCCAGGCTTCGTTGGCTCGCGTCCGGGTATGGATATCTCTCTGTCTGCCATTCTTTACATTTCTCAATCAGAAGCAGCCTTTTCGTCCATCTAGTGCTCAGAAAGGATTGTCGTCAGGGCCGACGTCAAGGCCTGCTATGTCTGGAAGCAAACAAGGCCATAATATGATGGAGGAGCACAAATGATAAGGGATCGTCAAACCCAATGGGATGAGTCTCGCTTTTGGGGAAGACTCGAGAACAGTTAGCTCCACCTACAGCAGGAGATATACACAGTCGGTGAACCGGCATCTTGTGTGAGCAGTGGAGCTCAAGTATTGGTAAGGAGGTTAAGGCAACTGGTGCTGCTGCCTTTGCAACTAGCGAAGCTATTGACAAACAAAGTCGCCATGTTTCCGAGTTTCACCAGAAGAAGACTGTGCGACTTGCTCAATCAATGGGCTGAAAGTGATTGATGATCCTCATGGTGGTGGTAGCGGTGACGTGCATCTCTGGAGAATGCGGGGGAGGGGAACCTGGCAGGTTCGCAGAGAGCCTGGCGCCAGCTGGCATGTTGCTTCTCGCCTGTGACGCGTTTCGTGCAATCGCGACTCGGCTCTCCAAACAACAACCGCCTTCGTCAACGGAC